ACCGGCGGCTGTGGAGACCCTCGTAGCCCAACTTGGCACACCGATGAGAAGTGTTATCCTAGCCGTCTGGATGCGCGACTTGCTGTACACCCATGAACGGTATGCGACAAAGTATGCCTTTCGTGAGGATCACGTAGATCCCAGCGACGACGCAACTCGGTTCATCAGCTGGTACCGCGAAAAGAAGACTCTCCCTAGTGGATTTAACTCGTCACCCTACGAACCTTGGATGTCGGACGACATAGCACCTGGTGCACGACCGTATGCGTTGCGACTCCGCAAACAAGCGGCTAAGGAATCGAGGAAGAGCAGAGCGGAGCGCCCCGGCCAAGAAACAGATGAGACCGACGAGATGTCTCAACGGAGTGGCCCGGCGACTTGCAAACCTAGGGACCCGAACATACGGCCACATAACCGACCTGGCCCGGATGATGACGAAGAAGAAGATTACTTCGGCGGCGATAAACCCGTCGAAGTCCCACTCAGTTAAGGTCGAGTTCCCACATTGGAACTCGATTCCCCACTCGGAATAACTACGGGGACTTAAGGCCGAGAAACGGCACGGTCGAGAACCGACCTTCCGACTGAGAAACAGTCTAGCTGAGAAACAGCGCCGTCGAGAACCGACTTCGGAATGGACACTTCTCTAAATTCTTTTTGGAAGATGACTAACCATGTACGCGGCGGACGTCAACGACGATTTTGCCAGAAAGCCGACTACACAAGTCGGCCGGATTCTTTGGTCGGACCCGGAAACGCGTGGTTAGACCCGGGTATTTCGGCTCTTTCACCGTACCGGTACGTCCCCCAAGGAATCCCCTGGAACGAACTGGGCAACCGACCCCAGTTCCCCAGCTTGGCAAAAACAGATCGTAACCACATCTGCTAACAGAGCAGATCGTCAACCACGTTCTGCGACCATCGGAGCCAACAGAAGCCCCAATCCGCGTTACATGGAGCCGACCACGAGTTACATGGTACAGACGATGCCATTAACCATGACCGGCTTTGAAGATTACTCCGGCCAACCGACTCCGGAGAAGAAACCGAGAGGATTACGCTAACATGGCGCGGAACACGTCGCTGCGCGCGTTCCACGCCATGTTTGCCAAGCACCCGTGGCCAACCTCGGAACCGGGTAGCCGAGCAGTTTTCACCATTGTAAATAGCGGAAATCCCTCGGCCGAGCCGCCAACAGCGCAGGAAGACTCGGATTCGACTACATACGGAGGCCGACCACAAAGTTCGACTTCGTAGTTCATCATAATATGGATGCATGACGAAAAATGCGGCACTAGCCGACCACAAAGGTCGGTTGTGCAAGCCGATCACAAAGATCGGTTTTGAAAACTGTTCGACCTGTAACGACGCAGATCGTTAGAACCACGACTCGCTACCTTTAAACGATCACACAGATCGACGGAGTATTTGGTAGCCGACCAACAAGAAGTCGACCATGGATGGAAGCTGGCAGTAGTAACGTGGTAACTCAACCGGATTCTCCGTTTGAATCCAGACCTACATGCTCTGTACCTGGAGATCAACCGCAGTCTTCCCCGGCCGACATCGGGTAAACCAGCCGATTCACCGGTGACCACGACTACGCGCGTCTCTGAACGTGCTGCCATTCCCTGAAGAGGAACGGCGACGGTGATTTGGATACTGGTGTACCAACGACTCCGCCGCGACCTGCTTCCCCATGTCTCCAATGGAACATCCTAGGCAGACCGTGTTAGAATACGCGATCTGCACCCTCCTAATGAACCCCGCTGACAGGGATCATGCGGCCGCAACAAAAGTGGCAGCATGGCCTTTGTCAGCGGCAAAGAAAATTTCCCCGTGGACGTGAGTCGTCTACCCCCAACAGAGCGGCTAGGCGTCACAGGTTCGCGACAAAACAGAATGGAAGAATCGGATCTGACGACCCCAGGAACTTGCATGTGCATGAACTTTAAACCAAAGAGCTTGTCTCGGCAACCGGGGCCACAAAGACCCTTAGCGTTGTGAGCGAGCGCAGTGCATGATTGACCGACCTCAACAGTAGCTCGGATCCGACCTGGAGTTCACGTCAGAAATAACAGAAGGAACGGAGTTGTGTTGCCGAACATCCTTCTGCCAGTCCGAACTGACCGTGGGATGTCCTGACACCAAGGACCCGGCCAACTGTAGCCGAACGCACAGAACTCCTAAAATGAAGTTGACAACCACCAGATGGAGGTCGGAAGTAAGCGACAACAGCTTGGAAAACCAACCAGAAGTACGAAATCGACCTCTCAGTGGAAGAACTTATATTCCCGGCGGATAGACACAAAGTTTATCCGACCTTGGGAAGTCGGAAAATAGCCGACCTCCGAAATCGGACATGGATATCCGACCTCAAGCCGAGGTCGGAAGTGACCGTACACAAGTCGGTAGGGTACGGCAACAAGTCGGCAAAGACATTCAGAAGTCGAGAACCGACCTCCTAACGGAAAAATCCGACCTTCGGACGGATGGGAACATAGTTCATCCGACCTTCCGAAGTCGACCATAACCGACCACATGTCGGAAGTCGGCAACTTAGTCAACATGACGGAAGAAGAACGACAGATATCTGCGATGGACGAATTCGACTTGAAGGAACTTGTTTAGCCCCACATGGGCATGTTATTGCAGGTTAACCCTAGTCGACCACTGACGGATAGGATAACCGACCTCGACAGAAGGTCGGATAACAACAGAACAGATTGGATGGAAGTCGACTGGACACTTCCATCGCCGAAACTCATAAATTCCGACCGGACCTTCGAGCCAGTTCGACTCGGATTACTACAAACCAGGCTCGTGGTAGCAGATTGAACGGTTGTAACCGACCACTTTTGAACGGAACTGCTGTACATGACGACCACACAGGCCGCATGACTTACATACAGCCTTTTCCGACCTGGACTTTAAGAATTCGGAACATAGCCGAATTTCCCCAGCCGCCGGTCGACTTACCGGTAGGCCGACCTTGGTCAAACCGACCTCGGTCCTATTCCCCATTCAGAGAGGATGCCTCGGCATTTGCAACTGCAACAGTGCCTCTCTATCCCTGACGGACGGATATGAGTCGGAAGTAAGTGTTTAACCGTGCTTATCCGACCTCAGTGAATGTAACCGGTCACGACGGGTAACCCGGGAACCGATGCCCCGGACCCAACTTACCGGATGAAAGCGGACAGGAGACCCCGTGGACGTCATCCTAGTCGGAATAGGACCCCCGGACAGATTCTTGTATTTTTTTTAGCATTTCTCCTAACAAACGGAATTGTATTTTTCTAGTTCGATCTCTTTGACAGATCTGTTTTGTAACCCCTTTTGCTCACTGGAATTGTGATTAAACTTTATTTCATATTTTCTTTCGCGCTGCATAAACTTTCATTACATTTTTCTCTCACATCGTTCTCCGTTGCCAACAGAAGCAAGAAGCCAGCCAACAGAAGCACCACCGGTCCAACGAAACGCCCGAGCGGCTTCCGGATTTTTCGGCCGTGAGTGGTTTCCACTCATGGGTTCGGAAGTGAAGAAGGGACGGTCGACCAGACACCGGACTCCCACTGCCAGAGGACGCGTACCAGCGACCCCACATTGGGTCCGACTGGAGAGTTGTGCGGTACTGGTGCGGTACCGAGTCGGAGCATCCTTCGCAGGAGCTCGGATTCCCGCCCAGAGGCATGTCAGAGGCACATGACTGCGCCTGGTGCATACGGCCCACCATGGACGTATTTGCACTCATGCTTGCCATATCGCCTCTCTCGCTGTACGTACGTGTGCTGCTGCACTGCACTCATATCCGCTGAAGCGGATATACGCGGCACACACACTGAGCATACTTGCTCTCTCGTCCCTCTCTCGCAGTATGACTCAGCGTTCATACGCTCGCGTTGGATTGAGTCCAGTCTGCGCATCATCACACAGCTGATGGCACACAGCACGTGCTTGCCGCGAGTTGCTTCTTTCACGCCTTGACGAACGCTCAAGAGCTCTTCTAGCATTCACTTGCTTGTTTAGCCATCAGTGCTTTGTTCTTGCATTCCCTGCTATTACGCAGCATTGTCCCTTTATTTGTACAATAAAGCATCACTCGTGATCTCCTCGCGCTTGCCTGTTACAACTGCTTTCGGCAATGAGGTTTGACTTTCATAATTAACGATGCGGCGCATAAGTGTTTTATGCCTGTTGGTGTGCTGATAACTTTAACTTAATAACTTTAACTTAAAAGTTTAGAACTGGCAGAGTGCTAACGGTAATCGGCAAATTGGAATGTTAACGGCTCTTCCGACAAAGGTAAAGGTAAAACTGAAAACGGCGAAATGGAACGGCAGAGACAAATGGACAGCAAAAGCGAAGTTGGCCGACCCCGTGAACGCTTGGCCGTTGTGCAAAAGCTTGTAAAATTTGATTTTGGGCAATTAGTGTATAAATGTTGAGTATGTACGAATGTCTTCTCAATAAAACGTGAATTATCTCAGTGTTATTTCAGGCTCGCAGAAAATATGTTAGAGGCTGTATCCTGTCCGGTACGCGGGTTTCCGGACGTGAGCCATCCTGTCTGGCACAGGCTCAGGAACGTGAGACATCCTGAGCGGCATGAAGGCTTATGTACGCAGACGAAAACCATTAATGGATATACCGTATATCCATAACGCACTGAAATAATAATGTTACGCATACAGTATGCGTAAATATTATTTCAGTGTGTTATCACATAGGACCCCCACACTGGCACCCAAGCTACAGTGAGCCATTTCGGCCGTCAAAAAGTTAACCAACCCTTTTTGTCGGCAATAAGGTTTGTTCCGTGAGCCAATCAACCTTTCTGCCGGCTACAAGCTTTCTCGATGATGCACTGTGCTGTCTGAGCTACACGTACGAATATGGTTCTATGTATGTACCGATTAGGTACGGCCTTAATTAAATCACAAAGCAACACAAATCTGATAAACCTAGCTTGCGGTAATGTAAAAATACAAACTTACCGCGCTCAGATAAAAACGACGCTGCGAAACGAAGTGTCTGTGAGGTTTCGATATGCATGTTGATTAACTGAGTCACGCAGGGATGGCTGAATGTAACTGACTGCATGAGGTTTGGGATCTCTAATCGGATACTTGCTCGTTCTAGATCTAAAAGTGGTGCGTTGGTCCATTCTTTGGTTATCTGACTGAATACCGCACACGAATTGAAGCTTTCACGCTCTAACGGTCCAATTTCCAGACTTGGAGGGCAGCTAAATGTGGTGAGAGCTGATTTGATATCGGTCCTAATTAATCGCGAAGGTTCTGAATCCATTGAATGTGGTGCAACATAAATGTAGTGATGGAGCAGCGTATCAGCTGACGGTCTGTTGCAAGGGCTATCTTCGAATGTTAAATAAAGCACGTCAAGAAAAGCGGGCGGCATGCAAGGAGGAGGCATCGGAGACCATGTTTTGTGGTCCTCTCTTGAAAACAGCGCATTACTCTCCCAATTGTAGAACTCGCCTGTTGAAGATTCTTGTTGAAGATAGGCTTGGCGGTTCAGAAATAAAAACAGGATGATCTGCCCGAAACTCCAAACGTCTGCGCTGGTATTTAAGTTATTAAGGTCCAATTCACTGAAGCCGCGCTTCATTTCGGGAGAGATATACCTTTCAGCACACATGGAAATAAGATTGCAACGGTCCTTATCGGTTCTAAATACTCGCTGCGGGTTATTATCATAATCGCTGAGTTTAGGTTTGAAATGAGTTGTTCCGGCAACAGGTTGCAACATCACATTCCACGGATGAAGCGAGCCGTGTGTAATGTTCATTTTATGTAAATACTGCAGTCCAAATAGAATTTCTTTGCTAAAGTTTACTATTGTCGGCAACTTTTGCGACACTTCGTATTTAAAGGGATGATCCCCAAGTGACCCGGCTGAAAATATTGTACAGTAATTCATAAGGCAAAAAGTAAATGTGACGCTCGTCTAACACTTAAGCACATTGTCTCATGTAACTTATTCATATATCATGTTCCCCTATCTTTTTTAAAATGAAACAAACCTTAAAACAAGAAGTAGATATATTATTATTTCTCGGGAACTTCCGCTTTTGAACAAATTCACTTTCTATTACCCGATTCAAGCGTCATAAGATTTTCCTAACCTTGAAGATAATCCATGGATAGAATCAGTGTTCCGCCTATCGATGACGCTTCAGCCAAATGTATGGCCAAAATATTCGGATGGTTCAAGTCGCACATCATTTTTACAGCTTCCAAATATTCAGGATGAAGTCTGTCAGTCTGAATAATTTTATTCAGAATCGGCACATCGGCACTTTGGTCGGAGTTTGGTGGTATCCGGAATTCTCCGAAGAGTCCAACTTGGATGCATTTAGCCACCTTCATTTGGTTCACTGGTGAGCAATCGTTACCGGAGCTGGAAAAGTTAACATTTGAGGAAACTAAAGCTCATTACTGCATGCACTGGGAAATTGGTTTCTGCTATTAGCGTGGCTAACTGGCACGCGTGCTGGCTGTGCAAATTACACATGGTTCTTATATTCTTATATTTTTCGAAAGAGCGAACTTAGAGAAACTGTCGTGTACGTTGCTTTCCTAGCAACTACTGTATTACTTCTAACTACTTTCTGCTGTACTTTCTGTCATTCTACCTGCTGCGCAGTTGCTGTACACATCATTAATTATGTAGTAATAATAAACTATTAAAGTATTACTTATACAATACTTCACAGAAACCCATACCATTCGCACTGAGTATCTACATATTAAATTTTTTATGCGGTCAAAAATGTCCTTTAAACAAATGACCAACGTCCCTTCTTCGATCTTTTTCTTCGCTGTGGCTTCGATTCTCGATGGCTTCCAGAGATTATACCGATGAAAACAATTATATCGAACAAGTATTGCGACGGACCGCTTTGTGCTTGCAGATGTTGTGCATCCACACTGCTTCGGACTGCTTCCAACGGTCGAACACCGGCAGGATACGCTTTTTTTGGTGCAGCTTCTGGTATTGGTTTCTAGTGCAGCTTCTGGTACTCCCTTAAACGCGCAACTGGACAACTGGGAGTGTGACATTTCGCCGCACTTAAATTCGATGTGAAGGCATTTCGCCGCGGGACATACGGACGCTCGGACACTTGGGTCTGGGTCCTTGGGACATCTTGTTTTGAAACATTTTATCTATGCGACATTTCGGTTGGGTCGCGGTCGATTCGTCTTGTGGCTTTTCGGATCATGCAATAATACGATGCGCTTGGTGTTCACGCGTTTCAGGATTTCCAGGCTTTTTCTTAGGTTTTTCTTTCCTAAGGTTTCGCAGGTTTTTCAGGTATTCTTGATTATTTCGGAAACCTGGCAAAGAGTTAAGTTGATAGGCAAAATGTCTCTTCGACGAAACGGCCTTCCGACTGAATGTCTCGTGATATTCTGCCTACTAAATGCCCCGCGACAAAACGTCGCTCGGCAAAATTTTCTTATGGCGAAATACTATCTGCAACTGCTGCTTTTGTCCGCTGCGAAACGTCGCGGTGCCAAATGCCTTACTGCTTGAAAAACGTTATTACTAAATTTTTGTGAAATCAAATGATAATGTCCCAAACGCGCTTCTCCTCTACGTGAACTGTGAATATTACGAGACATATAGTCTCGTGCTGGTGAAGGGTGTGCCCTGACGTTATGACTGTAGCGGCATTATCAAGTTAGACCACAGAGTTGGTTTACCGGAAATAAGCACACCGATTCACCTTTTCAGTATGGCCTGCGACCCTTTGATACACTACACAATCCACTTTTACAGCTGCTCTACACGCACGATAGCCGGTTTCCCGCAAGACGCAACAACAACACTTCCAGTTCCACTAACAGCTTTTTCACAGCGAAAGGGCAGAACAAAAAGCAAGCTGTGAGTATTACAAATAATAAACAAAGAATGGATAATCCTGTCGCTTAAAAATCACAGTACCTGCTGAACGAGAATCCTAAATTGGGTCTGCTCCAAACACTGCGATAGCGCCAAATATCTCCTTCACCACGTGGCTGAACCAAGCCGCTGTGGGTGCGCAGATATTCTTTTAACCATGCATACTCCTCTGCCATGCAAATCTTTGTGGTAAACGCATTTGCGAATGTCCCGTCCTCGGCAAGCCCATCGGAGAATGTCAACATTTCCAGCTGCGTCAGTTGCACAAGGACAGCTTCACTGAATTCTGCCAAAGTACAACGCGGAAGTTCTAAGCAGCGCAATTTTGGGAAAGCGGTTAGAACACCTGGGCGCAATACAATATCAGAGCAGTTCATTATTCGCAGGCTAAGCAGATTGGGCAAGCTGATCGTACTGAGCAAGTTGCAATTGAACTGAGGTACATTCTCGACAGTCAAATCGAGAACAAGGTCAGACACCGCTGTTAGAGCGTTCAGATTTTCGAATGGAGCAGCGGTGCGCAAATGCACCGCAATAGGGCGATCTGTGTCTAGATTGCGATAGGACCACATAATTTTCCGAATCGATGCGGCAGTACTTGCAGCTAAAATGCATGGTTTAATTTCAGTCCCATTGGTTGCTGGGTTGCGCTTCCATTGCTCGAATGCGCGCAATTCGTCTTCTGTTACCGGACGCATAGTAAAAACTGGTTTAGTATTGGATTGCAGGACCACTTCCATCGGCATCGCCACCTGGAAAAGCTGCGAACAAAGCAGGCTTTCCAGCGAAGGCCGCTCGTCTTGGGGGAGAAAACAAGATTTGATAATATTTTTGGCATTGGGTGGAAGAGCGTTCGGTACATATGGTAACCATCCACTGCGCAGCAAATCCACGATTTCTTCTGTCGGCACCTTTCCATCAACCACACGACTTTCATTGCAGCCATCTTCTGTCGTTTTTTCAAAGCGGAGATATGGACCCATGGCTAGCATCAGCAGGATGTGCCCGATTCCCCACACTTGTTGGGGTTCCGATGCGGTGAGAGCCATGGCCAAGGACGGCAGGTTGGCATGCTCCGGTGGCATGAAGCGCGCAAATTCAGTATGGGGCATGAGGTCAACCTCGCTCATTTTGTGCGTCTGAAACTTGATGTCCAGCATCGAATCCAGGAAGTAGGCAGCGTGTATCTTCGCCCTCAGGAATGTGCCAGTTGGATGTCTTTCGCACAGCACAACCCCGCAGTGCTGTGTCATACTGATACGGGTTTGTTTCTGCTCCAAAAAGACCAAACCCTCGATAAGCTGTCTGATGTATGTCCTTATGCAGTTCCAGGAAAATTCAACACCTGCTTCGAGGAGACGTTGCAAGCAGCAGCAGTCTACAGATAAACATAAACAATGCATGCATCAAGTGCGCGTTTTTTTTCAAATTATCTGCCCAAATCGCTTAAACATTTCATTGCTGAATTGCAGTCCTTACCAGGATCGTAAGCCAGTTTGTAGACAACGCTGACGTAATCTGCAACATATCGGTAATGGCATTCCAGAAGGGGAAGAATCGATTGATGTCGTATATGGGTGAGTTGTTTCACATCTTTCTCGTTAAATGTGCGTAATTCTTCGAGAAAGACGAAATCCGACGGATACGCATGGGGATCCAGTGAGCAGTCATAAATATTCTCCCAAATTAAAGTATTGCCCGTCTGCTCTCTTGCGTGATCAACAGTTATAATACGTGTTGTCACCTGCTGGGTTCGCCGTTCTAGTCGTAAAAATTTGGTATAGAAAAAGGCATTGGCAGCATCGAAAATACAGTAATAATATTCTGATCCCAAGTACTGCTGTATGCGTCTTCGACACTCAATTTCTTTTTTTTCCACTGATGCGTCAGCCGCAAAGATATAGTGTCCTTTGAGTACCTGTGCGGTTGGCCGATTGCTGGGATGGCTGCGGAAGCATAAGTGCAGAAGATCATAAATGCCCGGCGGGGTTTTTGATGATAGCCGTTGTAGCGCTGCATTGTCCTTGACAAGGCGCGGAAGTGTGTCTTGGGTGTAGTAAGGATTGGCGGATGCTTCTCTCTCCGCTTTCATATCTTCGGTCGGCACTTTTTCTAGAATGTGTATCATCAGTTCTCCAAACGACCATATGTCCAATTTGCTAAACTCTTTTCCATTTTCGCTTTTGTAGTTCCGATTGGCGGAGCTGTACTGAAGATTACCATTTTCCTCTATTTTTCCGCAGATATCTTGCAAAAGGTTTTGTGGCACATTTTCTTTCTCAAGGCATTCTACCAGGGAAATTTTCGGCAAAGGAAAGCTATCGCGCTCGGACGGGAATAACAGAATGCTGTCGGTCGTTAATTCACCGTGCACTACGCCGTTACTATGGAGATAAGCAAGACCCTCCAATATGCTTCTTCCGATTTGCAGTGCTTCGAAGACTGCCAATCGCTCTTCATAATGGGATAAATTCGGCACTACAAAATTAATAATAATCACTCATATATCAATATGTACAATGAGATGTTACACGTTCCGGCTCCTCTTGAAAATTGGCTACACATTCCGGCTCCCGGTTAGATGGAAAGTATCTGATTATTGTCTGAATAATATCTGATTATGGATTCTTCATACTCACTGGACAGCCAGCGCAATTTGGCCTTCACGATTCATTTCACAAAATGTCTGATTATACATAGTTCCGGTTAGCAGAACTAGAAACTTACCATAAGGAGTTTCAACCTTGACTCACAATAAGTACACCAACTAGACTTCTGTTACTATTTCAGTGCAGCACAAACTGAAATAAAGTTCATATTTATATCGATTCTGAATAACCACATTTCTGGAGTCCACTGTATAGAGTACGGCACATCTGTTTGAGAATATTTTAGGGCAAATGGCTTTTGCCTCCCTTTTCAGAAACCTTTGGGGGGTGGGTGCCCTTAAGTTCATAATGGCCAACACAATATCAACTTCGAAAGCAGCGGTGGGTAATGTTGTGCTTCCAACAGATACGTCGCATGTTATTTTGTACTACTTTGTTATTAAAATAGAAGCATAATGGCATAATGTACATACATGTACATACATTTTTCCCTGAAATTTTGGTTGTGATCATTGTAATGGTTCTTTCGTGTGTCGATTAAATATGTATACAGTGGCGAGCTTCGCTCAATATGAATACTCCAATGAAGAATTTGTCCCAATTAATATGTGATGGGACTCTACCCAAAACACTAATAGTGATCGAACGATAAATTACCTACGGAGAGACCTACGGAGTAATTACCTACGGAGTAAGTGACCTTCGTACCGCAGCTTATTAAAATTATTAAAATTGTTATTAAGCTGCGGTATGAAGGTCACCTAATTTATCGTGCTTTGCGGCGGATAGCGAAAAATTCAGCAATTAAAGAATTAATTTTTATGAATACGGTATGCTGCATGGCTTACTAGAAAGTTCCTCCATCGTTCACTTACTGTTGCAATGCTCCGCAATTACGCCTAACCAGTCTGGTTGCATTACTCCCACAAAATAGTAGCGGACCACATTTTCATGGTCAAGATGTAGCAAATGGCATGCTTTCTTCATTATCTGGCTGATATTTGGAGAGTGATTACGGAAACAATGCGCTACCATATTCTGGCCATTGGCGTTATCACGCAGCCTGAAAATGTGGCGGGCATCGTTAGACTGGATGGCCTCTTGCTGGGAATAGTTACGGTCTCCAATAGTTACTACAGTGGGAAAACCTGGTATCCCAGTAGAAGGCATGTTGCTGCTAGTGCTGTCTGCCGTCAACCAACGGGTCTTAATGGCCTGCGAAATTACTTCATTTCTTCGAAAGCTGTTAAAAAAAAAGAAATAAGTTATTGTCGATGTTCAAACCAGACTTGGGCCGCCAACGATATCTCCGCTTTCCGCCCGCCCGCTCTTACAAAAAATTTTCAGCCCCGCTCCACCCACCCGTAAGAAAAAAATTGCCCACTTCCGCCCGCCATATCTTAATTTCCCGCCGTCCGCCCGCCAAAAATGTGAAAAAATTTTTCAGTGCTTTTCAATTTTTAATTTTTTCCCTTTGTTCTCTTCAGCAGAAATATCTGCTCAAAAACCACACCAGTTGCCAATTTTCGCGGGAAGCGCGAAGCCAACAACCAATTTCGCCGCAAAAACCGTTAGAAATTTTATAAAAAATAGTTAGAATATTTCAGTAAATGATCTTAAATTTTATTTTATGCTTGATCTCCACCCGCCTTTAAAATAATCCCGCTCCCGCCCGCTCACATTTTTTCCTCCCCGCCCCGTCCCTCCAAACTTCCGCCCGCTAACGTCCTCCAAAAAAGCGGGGAGCGGCGGGAATGGCGGAAAAATTTCCCGCTCCGCAAAAAGGCGGCCCAAGTCTGGTTCAAACTACCGAATTTAGTCAGTTAAAGTATTAAGAAATCGGTTTTGAAACAGCTTAATTTGGGATAGTCAGTGACTCAGTATACCTGAACAGTCACGTGGCGGCTTGTTATGCTGGGGTACACAAAACAGTATTTAGCAATCAATTGCGATGGATGTACAATCCGAAATGGCTTGCTTTCATGAACTCGTGTTTACCATAGGTAAAGGCATGTGATAGTGGACATTGTCGGTTTTATCACAATTCTCCAAGCAAATAGAGCCATATTATTTAAGAAGTAGAGCCATATTATTTATCAGGAAAACTTAGTTATCAGGCAAAGTTTCTTACAAGTGTTAATTCATCGCTAAATCGGCTAATATCAGTTGCAAACGCGCGCTGATAATGTAACTGCAATTTTACTGCAATTTCATACCGTATACGAAGACGGTATATCTTAGCTTCGCTGACAGACAGCTACAGTTTAAGCAAAGCAAAACATTACTGGGCATTACAGTAATGCATGATTATGTGTGATAGATTGTTGTTGCTTATTACGGTTTCTTATCGCTATCACCGTTCACTTATCGTTTGCAACTTTTCCGACAACTTTTCCTAGAGATAAGCTAACCTGCCTATATTCACTTCCCTCGCATTTCACTCGTAGCACTTTATATTACCCATGCTAAGTCTTGGATACCTATTGATCGAGTTGTGAATTAAAACTCCGTATTCTATCCTGCGACTAGTAGCCTCATTAAGCAGCGACTAGCAGCAGCGTTCCAACAGGTCAGAATGGCAAATGAACAGCAGCCTAAAGAAGTGAGCTACAAATATGACTGCTGCGATGTAATCGAGAGAAGTGTTTTCAAGGCGCAGCTTACAGACTGCGATCCTACGAGCGAAAACGGCTATGTAGCTGTTAAGGTTGCCGCCGTGCCGCTTAAATCGCTTCGGAACATTCGACTACAGCAGCAGGAGAAAATATTAAGAGTTCTCAAGAATAAGAACGTAGTCGGTTACCAAACGGTTGTCCAAAAACGGATGAGGCCCGATTTGGTCCAATTGGAGTTCTGCATGACCTATCATCCAGGTAATGTTATCACTAGAAATTCAGTGCTTGTACCTTTATAAATGTGACGCTAACTTAGGTAGCTCGTATAGCACCTTGTAAGCGTAAAGTTGCCAAAAGGTACGTTTTGGTTACGGAAACTCCATGGCTACCGTAACCGCAGTATCCAAATGCAACGAAGACGGAAGCTTGCAAGATACTTACTTGTGAAGAAAACGTAATTAAACTGAAGTTGATTTTTAGATGGAAACTTGCGAGACCTGATTGGGACCTACGAAAAACAAGGGACAATGATGTCAGCCAAAACTATGGTCAATTTTTGTACACAATTGGCCAGTGGCTTATGGTATTTGCATAGGAAGGACATCGTTCATGGTCGACTGAAGCCATCAGCCATTCTTGTCAGCCAGTCGACGACAGAATGTAATCTGCGTATTGGCGGTTTGGATAAAATGATCGTGCTGCATAAGAACAAGGCCACGGCTGACGACATGGACTATTATAGAGAAACCGTGAGATCAATCATGCAGGAATCGACAGGTAAGTATGCATCACCGGAAATCATTCAAGCCATTGATCCGCGAACCAGAACTATATTCGATCAAAAAACTGATGTATGGAGTCTGGGATGTATTATGGTGGATTTGGCGCGATGCTGCTTCGACGACAAGAAAAAGCATCTTTATAACGAGGAGACCAACACCAAGAAAGCGGTCAATAGTCTGGGTTGGCCTTGGAATCTTACGCGTACAGCGGAAGGACACATTCCCTATATCTCACAAAACATACCTACAGAATTTACGCGAAAAATTCTGCAGCGTTGTTTGAGCAAGGATTGCAACGGACGATTTTCAGCCGAGGAGCTTCACAACGCTTTGGTGAGACTTGAGATATTCAGTGTGGAGAAGACTGGTGTCCGCCAAGGTGCGATATCAAGTAATGCTGGTGTAGACAACGGCGAACCGTCTGATCTGCCATGGCGGGATGGTTGCCGCCCTAACATTGAACCGGGCATTTCAAGTCCATCGGATTGGCTCGGAAAAGGCAGCTTTGGCGCAGTCTTTCGGGGCAAACTTGTAGAGGGAATTTACGAAACTCTTCCAACAACGATTGCTATCAAAACCGTTGAACTGAAAAAAGAAAAGCTTAAAGAGTTCGCTGATAAAACCAAACGGGAAGAAGCGAAGAGCCGTTGGGAAGCTCTGATAACGCTGCGACATCTTAATATCGTCACCTATTACAACTTGACCTTCAAGAAAAACAAACAACTTGATGGACCCGTAATAGAAATCGTGATGGACTACTGCTCAGGTAACCACTTCACGTCTTGTTGGAAAGCATGAACGGCTTTCAAACGGTATAGTCTGTACATATATATCGGATCTAGCAAAACAGGTATCAGAGCGCTAAGGTTTTTCTGTTCACAGTTCTTCCCTGTGACAAACTGTGCGCTTTTAGCGCTAGCAGAAATTGGGGTTTTTTTTATTAATTAAATAAGGAAGACATCACAGTCAAGACACCCAACTACGGAAACCATGAGAATTATAATCAAGATCGAAAATTGCAGAAAGAAAGCCCAGAAGTTTTGGCTGCAATTTTTGATCTTGATCATAATTATCAGGGTTTCCGTAGTTGGGTGTCTAAGACACCGTGTCTTGACTGTGATGTCTTCCTTATTTAATGGCTAAGGCTGTTTTGCCGCACACTGCGTTCAAACAGCCTTGATATTCTTTCATGTCCAATTGTTCTGCCTTGATATTTCTTGTTCAAACAGAACTTGATATTCTTTCGGACGTCTGGGTTGCTGGGTGCTATGGATGATTGCATCCGTAAATAGGATCCCAGAGCACTGCAGTGCCTGCCCTACGCTACTGAATTCACCGGAGACCGATAATTATCAACAGCTACCTGAATTGTTATATGTTAACCGGAAACTTCGGCAAAATAGTTAAAGGCTAATTTGCCATCCATACTGAAGTACTGCGGCAAACTAGCTAACGACTATTTTAACGCAGTGTGCGGCAAAATAGGAAAAGGCTATTTTACCGACCATAGTGCGGTAAAATAGCTAATGGCTATTTTGCCGCCAATACTGCGGCAAAATAGCCATTTCGAAACTGGCTACCGTGAACATGCTATTTTTTCCGGTACAACAAGCTTATTTCTCCTACAACTTCCGCCGCCTTCCCTTTGATTATTGCCAGAATCTGTTCATGCTTTAATTTTCTGGGATAATGTATGTCAGTAGAAATTAAAGATTGTATCGGTACAAAACGACCAGCTTCCAGTGGACGGCAGCCAGCTCGCCCGTCAACCTCATTACCTTACAGACACAAACATGACATCAATATTTGAACCATTACTATGAGTATCGTACGCTTTTTTCACCTTGGCAGTTTGTTGTGAAATAGTAGACACGGAAAGTATCAACATTGCAGAGAAGGAAACGGAAACCTTTCCGCTAAGGAGCTATGCGTAGTATAGTGAGCCTACGGAGAAAACCGAAACAATCACAAACGCAATGCTTCTCTTCAACCAGCTACACATCACGCTGCATATTCTAAAATAGCCTATCAACCGGCTCAGACGACGATCGCTGGCAACTGAAATATCTGCCAGATTTACAATCTGACAGATCGAAATCACAGCCGGAAATGAGAAAACAGAAAACCAGACTAACAGCCGCCCGAGCCCGGGTGTACGGGGAAGGCCACTCTTCTTCACAGTTGGTATCCGTATCCTTCGTCGCAAGCTGTACGGTGTACCCCCTATGTCACGTTTAATCTTTCCTCGTAAACATTGCTTGCGTGTGATTTTGCGGTGTCCAAACAGCTTTTTCAAAGTGCATTTTTGGGCATCCGACAAGATTTTTTCCCGTGTATTCACTTTAATTTAACGACCTTTTATTTCGCAGGCGGCGACTTATGTACCGTGCTGGAAAACGCCAGCAAAGGCAAAACGACAATCACCCTATATTCAATGTTGCGGTACGGATTTCATATGGCCAGCGGGCTGGATTATCTGCATCGCAAAGACTTCATACATGGCGATCTGAAGCCGGCCAACGTCTTTATTAAGGGTGCCTTTGACGATGACCAATCAATCCCCGTTATTGGTGACCTAGATGGCGCTCTGTGCAGCGTGGATGGCCAACTTCTTCCCAACGATATTGCGCGGGTGGAATGCACCCCACGGTACATGTCACCTGAAATGGCAAAAGCAAAACTACAACATTATCCGATCGCTACTGACCATTATGTTGGAACAGCTACCGATATCTGGAGTCTTGGATGTATCATATTACACATGGCTAATTGCTGCTTTCATGTTGACGACGGCTTGTCGTTTGTGACGCTCAAAAACGGAACAGATTGGTCAAGGCAGCCCAATCCGGATATCTCGTTACTGGCGACGGGAGCGTGCTTCCCTTTCGTGTCACGTGACATTCATCCAATAGAAAGGAACATTATTATGTCTTGCTTTGACGTAGATGCAGCTCAGCGGACTACAACTGACGCGTTGCGGAGCGATTTAAAGAATGACTTCTTCCGAATTTATCGGTTCCTGATGAAACTGAAGGGGGAGCTTAATCTAACCCCGCTTGAAACTGCAGATTATTGAAATAAGACATAATCATTAAATATCATTAATAATTATGATAAATAATTAATCATTAATTTTTGAGAATTTGTAACTCGCTGGATCGTTTCTGGGGCGGTGCAAGCAAGCCGACCATAAGAGGCGTCTAATGTCACACGGGCAAACTGCAGTAAACTAACGGACTAAAAATAAGCCTTTGAATGTGACATGCTCTGCAATACCTATACCTTTGTACTCACTATTTTGCATACGCGACCAACCTGACTCACGTCAGCAGAGTAGAATCTGGACTGACTTATGGAAGATGGACAGGAACATTAATAAACTCTTATTACTATTATCCAACAACACGATCGCGACCAAACACACCACCAACACACACACACAAACAGTCAGGGATCCCGATCAGCCGATGGTCTGACTGATCCACACGACTTTCGCCAAAGAACTAGCTCCCTAACGAAGGTCACTTAACTTCCAGAAACTCAGTACTAGATTCTAGATGGAATATGCGCGCTGAATCTAGAACCAAGTCAGAATCAAAACTCATCAAGGCTGGTTCTGTGGTCCAGAATCACGGCTGCATTTGCCCATTCGCTCAATGGACGTGTGCCAGCTATACCGTAGCTGCACCTTGTACGTACCGCACAACCAACTAGCTGTGTACAGGCAGTACTAAGATGACGTATTACAGTGCAATCATTACGATATCATTACGAAGAGTTCATTTTGGATCAGCGGTTCGAGATTTCGGTACACCATACAGAAGCTCCCAGTGGCAGCTGTGTTCGTACGGTTCCTGAGTTGCTACGCCGCAAGCTGGAGAAAATGCGTTCAGTTGTTGTCATAAAAAACGACGATCAGATCTGCATGGCTCGCGCATTGGTGATTGGAAAGGCGCATGCTAATGGAAATCACGACCTTCACCAGAAGCTGATTCGTGGGAAAAAGCTTCTTACGTTGGAGGCAAAAACCTTGGTGCGCACAGCAAAGCTACCCGAACGCGAGTTTACTTTAGCGGATATTCCAGCTTTTGAAAAGGTTCTGCCGGATTTTCAAATAACAGTGATTAGCACGGAGCACGCCAACAAAGTTGTTTACAATGGCGACGCAAAGGACAAGCACATTGCCTTTTGCATAATAACCATCATTTCGACTTACTGAAATCGTTACCGGCTTTTTTCAAGCGATCCTATTGGTGCTTCGGGTGTAGCAAAGGGTACAACCAGCGCGGCACTCATCGCTGTTCCCGTTTATGTCCCTCCTGTCTGCGCGAAAGCTGCCCGTATGACATGGACCGCAAGATTACCTGCCCGGATTGTCATCGCGTGTTTTTTGGAGTTGACTGTTATCAGCACCATAAGCAAGTCCGAGGTGCTGGTAAGCAAGGAAAGGCCCAAAAAAGCCTGTGCAGCATGGTTTTCCAGTGTCCCGATTGTCGTTGCATTGTATCCATGCGGCAGAGAAAAGGTCAAAATAACCGCCAGTGCGTAATATCATTACGCATATCATGGCAAATGCATCAAAGTTAATTGTCCAGTGTCGGGCGCATTATCGTCAACCGTTTGCCCATTTATTCTAACCTGCTGGAATTGCTAATGCCATAAACAATGCCATTCTGCGATGGCATCGTTTATTTTGTGCCAATTTGTTTTCTCATTTGGGCTATGGTTTTTTAGCATCATTGATCCTCTTTTGGTTCCTTGTGATTATGCAGGTGGTTCCATGTATACACAAGTAACATGGGTCGCAAATCCATTTCTGTGGTTACGTTAGAAAACAGGAACATCACACAGCCTACGTAAACAGACAGCAGTTATTTGTTTATTGCACCGCACTGCAATCAAATATAAAAAAACTTGATCGTAAAATCACAGGTTACAGTATTATTGATCGTGGATCGTGGCTCACCTGGCCAGTTAGCAAGGCACTGCATATCCGGGTTGAGTTGAGGTGTAAGTACGTACGTGCTCTGTAGCTGCCATACGCGATGCGATGGATGCACACTTAACTACTGTCAGGAGATCGGCGCCACCGCCCAGGGTAGTGGGGCTGCGGTGGCACCGCACCGACTCCGATTTCACTTCGCATGTGCTCTGTTTACGGCCCATGCACATGGCCGAGACGTTTTGATTTCATTCTGTTAGATTTTGGCTCGACAGCATGGACTTCCGTCCATGCTGTACGAGATGGCCTTCGATATTTGCGCGTGCTAGAGTGACCCTTCGGGGCTGTTTCGATGTTTTGGTTTCATCCCTTTATTAACATCTTCGATCTTAATAAAGCTATCGTTTGTGGCGTCGTTGTTTTCCGTTGCATTCCTATGCAGCGCAGGCATAGCGCTTACATGGTGGAGATGCGCGCTGTGCCTGCGCTGCATAGGAATGCAACGGAAAACAACGACGCCACAAACGATGGTGGAGATGCCAGTCGGTTCCCGATACCTCATCAGTTATTAATTAAATTAAATTGTATTTGTTTTTAATTTTGCGCAGCTGTAATTTTAACAGCGTTCAGCGATCAGCCAAAAGAAAAACTTAGACTTGGACAGGTCCTGTCTAATATTATCTTAAAATTTTTGATCATTCCGATTTGCTCTTTCTGCACTACAATGTAAGATTATGCCCACACTACCAGAGTGCTAATTTTCGTCCGACTACCCACTACCGCGGTTGTCAATAGAAGCTGCAGGATCGGCATTTTTTGGATCAGATTAAACTTTGTTGCATCACTACGCAGCACGGTTCGTGCTGCGTAAGGAATGGGGACGTGGAGAGAGTGAAACGGCCTTAAGCAGCAAGCAACTGGTGCGACCTGAATTTTATATCTAACGGTTTGATTTGTGTGCCTGTGCTGCACACACATTTTGACACTTTGAGCAGGAACGAAGCCGCTTATTCACAGGTTTAACTGGCAACCAGCGTGGCCTATACATATATCTAACCTTGTTGCAACAGCGAAAACTTAACAAAGTCACTTACAGTTACTGATCCACATCTATTTATTGTCCGACAAAATACTCGAAATAGCGCCCGTTCTGCGATAAGTCATGCAGTGGACTTTTAATAAAAAAAATTCAAATGAATGACTACATTCGAAGATTTCGAACCAAGGTTGCAAGACGCATTTCCCGATTCTTTACCGGAGATGACACTCATCAAGACGAGTGCAACCCCTTTGTAGGAAAACTTTTCTTTTGTTAACTGGATTGCGGCTACGGCTAACTGCTACGGAATAGTAAAGCCACTTCCTGAACTGGAATACACCGCTTAATGGAAACTATTAAATTAAATGTCACCTGAGCGGCTTCGGAACACTTGTGTAAAAGCGATGGAGCGGAACACCGGCGGAGGAATGACTAGGTGAAACTAGCCACTTGAACAGTCCCAGAGCTTTTTGTACGGCACTGCGGCCGTACTGGTCGTCGGCGTAGGATCCACAGGTATCAAGTGGATATTGCTGCAGCAGGTCGCGCGCCTGGTACTGCTTCCACCAAGAATACGGTCGGCTTTAGTAACAGTTTTTTTGTCGAGCGCAGTGCGGAGAATAAATGGTTTCGGACGTGACCGACGCGCTCCCCAGCCCATTGGTTTAAAGTGGCAGTTAATCTGAACACTGTCGCAAAACCATCGCGAATACCATCCCAGTGATTTGTGTAGACTGTAGAGCTTTACATTCTCCAGCGTCAACGTGATCACGGTATGGCCAATGCTCTGCTGAATATTTTCCACAATGTGTAGGATGTTGTTAATGCTCGTCGATACCGGCCCCGTGTAGTCGGAGAGATACTCATTGTGCAGCAGGCCTCGACGATCTTCCAGTGTTCGTATGGGAATTTCTGCTTCCGGTGGGCAATCGTCCAGTGGCCAGCGAAGGAATGTATGGCCGGTGGGTCGGGTCACGAAATGCTGCAGGAAGTGTTCGCCTTCGTATATCGTAAGACGGGTACTCGCCGATTTTACATGCAAAAATCAAGCTCGATTGACATGCTGGCACTCCATTCCGAAGATCGACAATGACACTCTTCCGAATCATATGGGAATCTTTTGCGGTGAGTTTCCACCGCTTGCAAACCCTAAAACACAAACCAACAATATACATAATACGCGATTTTTACAGAATCCCCATTACAAGTACATACAGCTGCTTCCAGCTACGCTGACCCATAATCCAGTGGGCAACACGGAACTTGGAAATGCAAATACGGCAATATAAAACTCCTTAATCGATTAGGCAGCGTACACGGAGCACCCGGAAATCTCAAATGCATCACGAGTCCGACGGGCAATATGTGAACTGCGCATTGGCGGTGGGCCGGTTCGATGTTGACCGTTGGATGCTCTGGAAGGTCTCTTGATTCACAACCTGTGCAGAAGCATGTCTCCTGTTGGCATAAAAAAACTTACGCTATATGTATCTGACTTACTGTCAGCCATAGCTGGTCACAATGGTCGGAATAAAAGACTCAATGACTGCTTGCCCGTATTTTGACAGTTAGCACTCTTGGATCTTTGTTTTTTCGTAAGGGTCCTGGAGGGGAGCAACCACATCTAGGGCATTTCAGTGTTCACCAGGGAACTCTACTGAAAACGTGATAGAGATGGGACTGCATTAACCGAGGGACTCCATTATGGGATGAGGGGAGCACAAACCGATATAATGCGGCAATCTGCATGAAATCCACTCTGGGGTTGATCCGCTGATGCGCAGATGCTAGAACACGGCATGTTGTAAATTTGTATGTTGCTTCATTAAAAGCTGTGAGTGCGCTTTGCTCAGGTTTCCTTATATTTGCTTCAGTTTTTCGGCAGCCATGCTAAATCATGCATGAAGAGTTATTGCGGGATATCGGGGCTGTTAGTGCTCGGCAGTGCACTTAGAACAGGGAAATTTAGATAAGATGGCTTGTGCAGTTGCAGGTGTACTGCCGTCTGCAAATAAGTGGTGGCATAAAAGTGCTGAGTAAATAAGCGGTTACTTCCCGTCAGCAGTGCTTCAGCAATCAGTTCCGGACGCTGTGACAAGAATATTTGGCGGAGATCAAAATAACTAATTTTCGATACTAAACAGTTCCCGGTGCCTTGTTGTAGCGGGTCAAAATGGTTTTTCAGCATGGTTTTATTTAAATAAATATATATGCTCGGTAAGTTGGTTACATACCTTCAAATCAACCCTTTTAAAGTAGCTCAGTCGACGGTGTTCACCTTGGCTTATTGCTATAACGCTTTAGAGCCCAGTACGGAAATTATAATGCAAAACAACGGAATTACAAACGTTAGCCAATCTTTGATGTTGGCGAAATAATAAACAACGATACAGAGTCTGTAGTCGTTTAGAACAGTAAGTTGATATTGTTGCAAACAGAAGTTGTCGGTTTTTTTATTCTTTCGGTTTCAGCCTTTTTTGAATTTTCATTTGGAGCTCTTGGAGTTCCCGGTCCATGCGCCCATTTTCTTTGCAGAACAGCTAAGGTGATGCGGTTTAGCTTGCTAACATCCAGACTTTTTACATCGTCCAGCGTCCATCTCCAATCTCGAAAATTAGTCATCGGACGTAGATCAACGCTCTGGTAGGTTTGCAGGATCTACGCACCACCAATCTAGCGTTCAACAGATTCAACAGCAACAAGAGCCATGCATATATTGCTGTCATATTACCCGAACAATTTCGTCGTATTTATCCGACCACTGCCCATCCGCCATCCACTTCCCGACGCCTGTAAAATCCACAGGACCTTGCAGGTGCGCTTCAAAAATTTCCCACAGTTGCGAAGGAGTGCACGTTTTTAAAACCAGCACAGTATGCTGGATATGCGGTTCTTTACATTCTTCTTGCCATGTCACGTCTTTGAAAACGATTCTGCTGCAACACGAAGCCAATCCGAGGAAGAACTTCGCCCTATATTCGAAACGCTCCGCTAGACTCGTGTGTGGGCTTCGCGTGTCGATGAGGCGCCGGCAGAAGGCCATCCCGTGGATGCGTCGACCGGTTGCACCCAGCAAATCCTGTAGGCACATAGTCACCCCGTCGCTCCAGTCGCGAGTTTCCGGCCAGTCGGGGTCATCGTCCAGGAAAAGAATGGTGCGCGTGGCCGGCGTCAGGTGCTTAAGAAGGCAGCTGTATACCGCGTAATAAGTCAAAAACCCGCGCGACCACTCCAACATGAGGGCGCTGTGATGAAACGACACCCGCACATCGCTGCACAGTTCGGCTGACGTCAGAATGGTCTAAAACGCGTGGCAGGTGCGTCGACACCGCTGGCGACCAATGGTATCCAGTGACTGGAAAATCTCTACTAGAAGAAGGCGTGGCAACGGAATACCGACGGCAACCGGGTTCTCTAACTTGATTTTTAGTGGCGGAGGGTACCAGCTGGGTCGGTATTCCTCTCCATATTTGGTGTGCTTACCGGCCTCATGTTGTGCTCTTTGGAAATGTTCCGCCTAGGCGGAAACGTTAAGCTGGCATCCCGTATGTAGCATTCAGCAGTCTTCACTATGATACGATGATCAATGTAAACGTACAAAGCTAAAAACTTTGTTTATAAGAACTGCTTATGTTGTGTCTGTAGCTGCGGTGCCGCTTACGTATGTACGAGGGCAGTTATAAAGTTGTATGAGACGTACGAATAGTGGAAATTGCCCAGATTTCTGCTAGTTTTTAAGCGCAGCGGCCACTAATGTGATGATGTCATTCTCTAGCTTTTTGAGATTTCGGTCTAGAATCAAACAGAATCTGGCCCATTGTCGGGATTTCTGGTACTTCAATTCTTCTAGTTCTGATAGGATGTAAGGAAATAGGGATCTGCTTATTCAACTACGCTACATGCTTTTTAAGTGAGTGTACCTAACAATCCAAGGAAGAAGCGACGGGCATTTTAACCGTCCACAACGGTATCTGTTTATATTTTATACAAACTGCATAAGGAAAATTACGAGTTCGGTGGCCGAAATCGGGCTTCTTGTGTTGCACTGCAAATACACCATCCTATCGTCGTAAACTTATGCATCGCGCATCAAAATACTCCTCCATTTGGATAGAAAACTCTACGGTACCGCCGGTGTGACACACTGCCAGTATTTTTCCGGCATAGGAATGGAACGCACGAAACGATGAGGCCGTTCTCCACGACGTTGATGACATTGCCATTTTGCAGTGGGCCGTGCTTATCCATCCGCACAAACACGGAATTCCAATCCCGCGCTTTCCGCTCGTGGATTTCATAAAAATGCATTTTCCACTTATGTTTATTATTAAGCGTCTGTGTGTGCAATTAAAATTAGCTGGATCGAACGCAGGTTTTTTCCGTGGATGTAGCGGACAAACAGGATACGGAAATCTTCGGAAATCTAGCAAGAAAGCTGTAACGCCAGCTTATGGAGTACCAAATAAGTAGTAAACAATAGCCGAAACAGTGCTACCAAAGAAAACCTCATCTGTGTTCCAGAACGAAGTCCTTTGTAGATTAGTCAGGCTGACATTACTTAACAAGATTCCGATTTTGCCAGAAATTATGTATAAATACAGTATAACCATTTCGATAGTTACTGCTCAGTGCTACGAAGTCTTAAATAAGCACTAGCACAAGCTTATCAGACACGTATAAGACGGCGATAAGAAAGGTAATCGATACCCAAAGGCCAAAGCGCCAGAATACCGATTACCGCTGCATACCTCTCTGTAATATACGAGTTTATGTGTTGCAATGTTGTCTGCAACACACTCAGAATAAATTGTCTTTTTCTGATTCTTATGCGGCACCATCCTTTCCGATCCTTACATTTTTGTAGACTATTTTCGAAATAACGAGAAAAAGGGTTTGTAAACTATCCGATTCCGATCGGTAACTACAGATCGTAAACTTCGTATTGTAAACTTCGTGATTATACATAATTTCAGCCAAAATCGGAATCGTAACGTATCGGAACCGGAAAGTATCGTATCGTAGCCTTAGTATCGCAAACTATAGAAAACAAGCGGATTTTACCATGATTCTGCTTTCGTTGATGAAGGTACATTAAGAAAGCTTTGAACAGAAATGAGAGCATTTTTTCCCTTGATTTGAACAAGGGCATTTTTGCATTCTACATTATAGAAAGGCATTTGACACCGCTCAGTGTTATGCCTAATTCGTTTGGTTTTGCTGTAGTTTTTATTTTATTTCTACAAAGGGTTCGAGATCTTAATCATTATTCGGAAATGTTGCTCGCTGAGCGGTCTCATGAAAACCTCTTATCGGATAAATGTATATGCCCTATACGGTAGCACGACAACTCTATGACCTTCATTTCGCTGATTGACAATTTGATGACCGACTTGTTGCTGACTACCACAATTTGCTGACCGACGAATCGCTGACCGACAGTTAGCTTTTATACAAATTGTCTGACGAACATCTTGCAAAAACTAATTTGCTGAACGACAGCTTACTTGTCGGTCAGCGAAATGTCGGTGATCGACAACTCGCTGACCGACAACTTGTAGAAGACGAAAACTTGCTGACCGTCAATTGGCTAACCAGTTCAACGCACATTAGCGATATTTACGCGAAAACTAGATTCTTCGTTGGTTTCACAAAAAGGAAGCAATACTATGACAGTTATAACTGAAATATAACTTTTTGCAATTTATTACGCCGTATCAAGTTCACGAGTATGTTATCGTCTCAGTCAATATTAATTATTTATTAATAACTGTTTAAAATATTTTAATAATTAAACCGGTTTCTTAGGTTTTGTAGATTTCTTAGGTTTCTTAGGGTTCTTAGGTTTCTTAGGTTTCTTTAGGTTTCAGAGGTTTCTGAGGTTTTCTTAGGTGTCTTAGGTTTCTTTGGTTTCATAGTTTTCTTCTGTTTCATAGATTTTTTATGAAATTCACTCGTACGCGCTCGAGCAGAAAAAAGGACAAAAATGGACGACTGGAATTGTCAGATTGCTGCATAAGCTGGCACCTGATAACAGCAGGAGAAGTGGTTGTGGTATCCGGTCATAATCACCCAAACTGGGTCTTACAAAGATTTGATTGGTAACAGACTAAATTTGTGGTCCGCGAGTTGTCGGTATTTCCATAAAACGTCCGTCAGTAAAATGTCGGTCAACAATTTAGTAAGTAAGCAAGTTGTCGGGTAAACATTCTGTCAGTCAGCAAAATGTCGTCAGCAAATCGTCAGTGTTAGCGAACTGTCGTTCAGCAAATTTTGGTTTAGCGATTTGTTGTTTCAACAATCTGTCGGGTCAGCAAGTTGTCGGTCAGCAAGATGACCGTCAGCGAGTTGTCGGTGTGCCCAAAAAAAAAAACAAAAGGGCACAAAATTTAATGCATCGCCCACCAAACTTGTTATCGCTTCCATAAAGAAACGCTGCGAATATCGCCGGTTTGATGCACTGCCAGTTAATCCCTTCAGCGGAGGGATGGAGCGCAGAGCAAATTCTCCATGCTAAATCATACGCCGTTGCATCTGATCTTCGGACGGCGGAAACGTTACCTGATTCTGCGGCAGCAGCCCAGGCGTCGTCGTTCCGCCGAACTGGATTTCACGAAAGCATAATCCTCAGCGTGCTCGAGCTTGTACAGAGTACATGAGCAGTTTACCTAATTACCACAGTCACTGGCCTTCGGGATTGCGCTCAGAATGACCCGTCCATAGGGTATATCGGGCAACCGGTAATTTCCTATTTCCACGTCTCGGGGAAAGGAGAGTTTAACCAGAGCTGCTCATCGCACAACCATGCACCGAAGATATTCCCGAATTCCACGAACACCGAACGCTGGCCGGTACAATGAAAGTCCACTATGACGCCGTTCTCTACGATGCTCGTGTCAGAGCGGCATCCGCTCTCTATAGGATCGTTCGAATCGGACTCCAAGTTTAAGTAATCCGACTCCGAACCCAAGTCCAAGTTTGAGTAATCCAAGTCCAAGTTTAAGTAATCCAACTCCGAATCCAAGTCCGAGCTTTAGCGCGGGCCGTGTCCGCCTAGCCCAGCCCTCGCACTGGCTACGCTACCATGCTGCAGCGGGCCCTGACCATCCAGAAGTACATCCACTGAATTCCCTCCCCGCACTTTCCGTCCAGTGATTTCATAGAAATGCATTAGCTCATTAGTTATGCAAGATATGAAGAGGCGTGTTATTCGCGCAGATGGCTATGCTGATGAGATCATGACACCACATACTGCGTTAAGCACTTTGCTGTGTCTTCGCTGATACAAAGTATTATCTTCGAAAGCAGAAGAATCACAAAATATGATGTAATGAACAACTGCTTATCAGTTATCACACGGGGTAACAACTAGCAAGCAAGGTGGGTAGTTCGAAATCAGTATGGATAGGCTGCATGCAGGCATGATCAACAAACGGTAGACTGGATGAGTGTTGTTTGTGGCAGCTGAATACCGGTTTTACGTTTCGATACATTCCGCGAACTGGCGTCCGAAGCGTTTCTTAATGACTACGGGTACGGAGGGAGATTGTATCGTGGCTAAATTTAAATGTGAATACATTGTACAATCACCGTATTTCATCAGTGCATTGGCGTTGCTACTTGCATGTACAGATACTGCATACAAATCATGCATGCATCTATATAACTAAGGCGCTTTCGCAATTGCCAATGCCAATTTGCCATTGGCTGGCTAGCGCTACTTGCATGAATACACATACAAACAGCAACGCGAATGCAAGATTATGTAATAAAGTAACATCAGAACATGCTGTCGCTGAAATAAGTCAAGGCAACTGTTTATTTCTGTGGCGCATTTTATTTAGGGTAGTCTGGTGAGCAGCAGCTCATTCAACTGCGGCTTTTTGGGCCACACAAGTTCAAGAACTTCTAATAGAGCACAACACAAAAACATGGGCAAACAGAACATTTCATGTTACCAGACGCTGGCCAAATACGTTATGAAGCTGCAAGGTAGCCGTTAGGGTCTTCGAGTAATCCCATAGCCGTTGAACGGCTGTCCATATTAAACTGTAAACACGACTGGATGAATGCGAAGAGCAGTGTGTCCATTCCCGGCGAAACTTTTGGTCGGGCCTGACACTTGGAAACCTGGAATGTTATTTGATAGGTCTCGTTAAAAGATAGTTCGCCGTACTGTCCATCCCAAATGCCCATCCGCTCCTGTGACGGAATCCATTGTTGAATTATGGGTTTCTGACCGGTATACATTTGTAGAGCGACACAACCGACGCTCCATATGTCGGTCTTATGGGAAATAAGATCGATATCCAGCGTGAACGAGCATAGAAGCAATTCCGGAGCCGCGTAGCGCTTTGTGAAGACCGTGTTTTCCACTTTACCGTGCAAGTGGTCGCTGAATACCGAATCTTCGAAGTCAATGATAGCGAGGTGCGGCTGATCGGTAAATCTCAACACAAGATTTTCTGGCTTAATGTCGCAGTGAATAATTCCGAAGACGGTGTAGATGTGATGCAAACCTTCTAAAAGATCCCGAAGGAGTTGCCGAATGGTAGTGTGTGGTACGAGCTGCTCGATCGGTTGATGCGCGTTATGAGAAAGTTGTCGCACCCATCGGTTCAAATCACCACCTGTAGTATTTGTACCGCAAATTTCAATATTTCAAATCCACAATATTTCAAAAAAATTAATATTTCAAAATTTAACCTGCCGTATAGTAATAGACTGCCGTATTTGCATAACTTAACCTACGAGTAGGCCCGCACTACGAGTTATGCGAACGCGACTGCTACCTCGCACATTTTTTGGGGACTCTGCTACTTACTTGGGGACCCTTACTACTGTACTTACTCATTACCGGTAGTTACCTGAATAGTACTGGCTGGATATGCGGCAGTAACCTTTGTCATCGAATGTGAATTGTCCCAGACTTAAGCCGAAGTATTTGGTGGTATTCTCGTGATTCAACTGTAGCAGTGAGCCAACTTTATCGATGAGCGTGACGTTGAATTCGGCTTCTTTAGGGTCCAGTTCCAGCTCTTTAAGCAGGAAGTGTTTTTCTTCATAGCAGGCCAAATAAAACCCCGTGCCCCTTCTTGGTTGGTCTGTTGGAGAAAGCAGTTGCGGTGATGGAACAGAAAAAGAGCCGTGTGGAAATATTTGATTCCATGCCCTAGCAGCCATGATGCAAATATGCACAACCAAACACAGCGGTAAATGAAAAGCAGCACAACGAAGCGCTAGCTACCAGCTAAATTTAACATTGCGCCTATGGTTTGCTGTGGAGAGGGTAATATTTACTTGTATTCTTCACTCTGAATTGCACATTATAATCCTCTGCAAGAGAAAATTACCGGCACCGGTCGTGTTTGTGCAGTAGAGTGCTGATAAACGATAAAAGTTTGATATGTTATACAAGTGTTTAGTGCAAGTTCCCACTATCGATAAAGCACATTATATTGTTTGCTTTCAACCAATAAAATTCCTCATGTGGTGGACTACTTGAATTTCTTACACAGCCGAACCTATAGTTTCACTGTTAAGCCTCAATTGGCCGGGTCTCGTAGCTGAGTGAGACACGAAGTGCCGAATGATGCGTCGAGTGCGCTTTGTTAGTATTAGTACTCTACAATACAGATACAGTCCTAACGCATTATTGGAAATGTCGTTTCCTAAAGAGAATCAATTTTAATGAAGTCTCTCTCCAAAGTCTGGAATATGATAATATAAAAAGAAAGGCACTAAGTGTGCCTTTCTCTCTTGCTTATGTTTTGGAACTTAGGATTAATGACACTGTTGTGGGCTGAGGTGTAAGTAACTGTAGCGCCATAGTAGTCCATACGTATTTCCCGGCTTTCGTCTTCATCCTTGAGCAGTGTATACAGTATCTAAACAATTACACCACAAAATTTTACCGGGCAGAAAAGCTGGCCCATAAAATGTACTGCTGTGAGAGCGCTCAGCAGGTGTAAACAGCAAATTGTGCGATATTACAAGAACTCACGAAGTCTGTTTGGAAAAGCTGATAACACTAGCATACAGACGGGTGTACACATGCGTGTCCCAATTTCTCTCCATGCACGATGAAATTACTTACCGGCATAACCGCCTGTTTACTCAATTGACTGATATGATAGGTTGCACAGTGGTGAAGTGCATCGCAAACTGATAATGCAAACTGTTATGCACAGCCTGGATCACGAAAATTAATATCCGCCATAGCGCTGTAGTGTCGTACTTGTAAAACGCAATCATATTGTGCAAGTTTCGATACAAGTGTACGATTCATGATAAATCATGGATTCGAATCCCTTCTGATTTCCTGGAACTGAACGTTTCCTATTTGGTGATTTTTAACCAACTGCTGGTCGTAAGACTTTGGCAACCATGGAAAAACGTTTCTCATTCTACAACCTTGAACACGATAACGGTCGCAGAAGTAAGAGTTTAGTGACAGTGGAAGAACTCGTCCATACACCTGCGCTCATGGGTAACATTAACGATGTTTTCTACGACGAAAATGGTCCTGCTTTGTTATCGACAAGTCAAAAAAACTGGATTGCTGACACAGTACTGCAGCAACTTGTGTCGTTGCATAAGAGCGCCATCTCTGGCATAGATTTTCGGCCAAATAATGTGCTGCTTAGCCGCAACGGAGCCATATTGAATAGACGCGGTCGGATTCAATCGCTGGACGAACACGCTGGAAGGGCCCACGACGAAGCGTTGCGATGGCTGCTCTATTTAGCACCGGAAGACCTTCGCGGCGACAACGCAGATGAACGTGCATCGGATATCTGGAGTTTTGGATGTTTGTGTGTATACGTTTTTAGTGGGCGAGATCCACAGTATTATCGACGACTACCGAACGGCCAATCAAGTTTAATAAATTGTGAAAGAAATGCATTCATTGCAATAACGCTTATGGTTGGGGATGGAATCTGTTTTCCAGAATTTGCCTCAAGCTACCAAAATAATTCAAAAATTGTACCGTCTTTTCTCGGATCTGTTAAGCTTATTGCAGGGCAAAGGCCAAGTGCACCCCAGCTGAGAAGGGATGTCTTGTTGGCCCATAAGATAGCTTTGCTTCAGTGCAGGAACACCGACAGTGTGTAAGTTGGTATGATTATGCAAGTCCGTCCGCAAACGCTAAAATTCATATGTCGTACAAAATTCTGCATTGTTCTTGCTATGATTATCGAAAATTTTTTGGCGGATATAGGTTTGTGCTTTGTACAGTGCTACAATCCTGGCGTTGCTGAGTTTCAGAAACATAGCACAACAGGAACATAGCACATAGCACAAGTTGTTCTTACAAAGATATTGTGAAAAAGTAGAGGACAACAAGTATTTTAGTACAAAGTCCTTTAAAATTTTTTTTCCATAATAATGTACTGCTGTGTGTGTAATAGTGTGTAATATTCCACTGCTGCAGCGTTGTCGTTTGTTGCAGAAATCCCTCTTCCGACAGCTTTACGTGTGAGAGGGGCGTCGTTGCTTTTAACAATGCCGACACTGTCCTGAAAAATAGTAATATGCAGTACAAGTTTTCGTTGGAGGACTTTATTGGACGCGGATCACTTGGCCAGATATTCTTAGCAAAAATTACGCAGCGCGGCAGTTATACCGGATCACAAGACGTAGTTGCCGTCAAAATGATACATTCACAAAATATAAAACTAGAGATTTGGATGGATATTGAGAAAAAACTGAGAAACCTTACTACTCTAGTTCATGAACATCTGGTAGTTTATCACAAGGTGTCCATTGTACAGTACCGTCGTGCATTGGGAATCGAGCTAGCGATGGATTTCTACAAAGGTAACACGTTACGTTAGCCATTAAGACGTTTTCTCGGTCAACTCCGGCTTTAAAATGCTCTTGCAGAAAGCCTCGCCTCGACTTTGAGGAACAACAGAGACGACGAAGATCGTATGGTTTCTTGGAAAAGCGTGACCCTCCACGCGAAAGACATAACGCAAGGGCTTGAGTTCCTTCATAGAAGTGGCATGGTGCACGGAAACTTAAAGCCAACAAACATTTTTTTCAGCGTGCCGCAGAAAGGCTATCAAAAGCTACTTATCGGTAATTTGGAGTGCATAGGCATGCCACGGCAGATGCATCAATCCTACTCGGGACGCTATCTATCACCAGAGATGATAAGGCTTTTGCAACCTTTTGATGAGGCTTTGGCAACCTCATCAGAAGAGAAGCTGGGACCAGAAGCCGATATTTGGAGCCTGGGCTGTATAATTTTAGATATGGCTGAATACTGTGGACGTGTCCCCAAAAGGCTTCTCGTAAAAGGTCAGGATATTGTGGATGCGGATAGCGAACTTGGCAGATGCCGGTATCACACGTGGATCTTCGAAGGCTACGTGCCATTTGTGGGCGACGCCATCGACGAAAACTTGGCGGTTCTGATCCGACAATGTTTTGATCCGAATCCGGCCAGCAGGATATCGGCATCAGCTTTAATCCTTGAACTATCACGAACACTTGCACTTCTGTAGATGGTGACGTTTCCAGCATCGGTGTGTGACTGGACCCGATGGATCCAATGCTGCAGATTTCTTTTCCGGTTCATATGCGTGCATTTGTGAGTTCGTATTTGCTGCAGCGTAACCATCTATTGATACTTCCGTTGTTTCCTTGTATCTTTTTTTCAGTTCAGTTAGTTGCATAGGTCTGGTTTGGTAATGCCAAAAATACTATTACTAGTACTAAATCACTAAGTACGTGGCTGTCTCTCAAGTTTTGTTTGATAAATTATGTTTTAAACGAGAAAACTGGTACGTGTAATAAATATTTCACAGTTCCACAGTCGTTTGTTGTGCAGCACAAGCTACTGCTATATTTCCAATTTTTCACAGCATTATAATTCCATCTGCTGAAATTCGCTACTTCATCTGTACCGTAATTGAGGCCTAGAACGTAAGTTGCCGATACAGTGCGTTACATAAAAGGTGTCATGGGACATGGGCATTTTCATTCATCGGGCGTAAATTTTGTCGTTCGAAAAACCGCTTAAGATTGACAAAAACAACCCAGTGAACCCACTACATACAACGTTTCGTGGTCTTTGTGTAACGCGGGTGGATGTATGTACAAGCCCGTCCGGAGTTAGTGCACGATAGGGAACAGCTAACGCATAGTAAGCGCGATGTTAGCGCTAAGCACGCTGGTCACTACACTACGTCTACCACGATGCGTAAATGCGCTCCGCAGTTAGATTGTCCCTTACTACACCGACTGTTTTCTAGCCACCTTCCGCCAGGCAGTTGCGATTATACTCATTAAGGCTATGGCTATGTTGACTTAATTCGTTTAGGAAGTGCAACATTTCTAGTTATTTAAAAACTTAAACAGTTTCTCAATCTACCTACCTACATAGTTAAATCCAAGAAAAATTCAGTACAGTAAAACCTGGTAACTAAATACACCGACGGTTCCGCAAATCCCGTATTTATTATGCAGGTGTATTTAATTTACAGAACTGCCCCCAGGGGTAGTAAAAATTTTCGCCCCCCTCCCCAGTTAATACAAATAGCAGAACTATTACATACGTGCAGTATGTTAGCTTATTGCTTCAAAAAAGTAATATTAGAACATGCAATGAGTACGTCGCTTGCAACTGAACAAAAAACCTACAGTTTAACAAAAACAGAATCCAGCGCCTGTTGTTTTGCTTTCGCTGCATTAGCCAACTTCTTCTCCAAAGTCAAACCATTACGGTTTCGTTTGTCCAGAATGTTTAATTTTTTACGGTATTAAACTCGAAGACTGGCAACAAACTGTTTTTCATCGCGTAGCCAAACTGCTTGACGTAGCCAAGTTCTGCAGGCCACTTAGGCATTTACAACTGATTTTAAGTTTTTAATGCGGATGTTTCGTTGTATTTTGTTTGTCTTGGCAGACTGTATGTAGCCAGCAGGTTCTTACATATGGGCATTTCGCATCCGGTTAAGACCAAAAGTGTATGTAAGCCTATTATACAGGTGTATGCACTGTACAGGATCCCCCCTATGTTATAGTCTACGGGATGCGCCGGTTCCTATTTGAGCGTATTTACTTTCCAGGTGTATTTGTTTACCAGGTGTATGTAGAGACAGGTTTTACTGTACTAACAAACCCAGACATAAACCGAACGAGTCACTTTAAAATCGGTCTTAAAGTTACCACCCCAAAAAACTAACTAGTCCGAACACACTCAGGGGAGATTTGGGGAAGTCTAGTCACAAAGTGTACAATAAAAAACCCCAGCACCTTGCGAGAGCTTTTTTGAAAAAACAAAATTTTAAAGTTGTAAAGAGCGATAAACACTTTTCTAGTTGCTTCTTTCAGCAACAACTTCGGTAAAACTTAATTTTTTCAAAATCGCTCTCTCAGTTAAACGTTTGAGATGTTCACCCACCGACTGTGTGATTTTTGTAATAAAAAATGTGCTCCGTAAATGACTAGTTACGTTTCAAAGCTTATCGACCGCTTTTTAAACGAGTGCCTTTGAAAGTTCATGCAAGTTTACATCAGTCATGTACATGCTGACTGTTACAGCCCACCACATGTATCAAACCAAGGAGACTATCCAGACAGGCGATTGTCCGCTTCCTACCACACTCATGTGTGACCAAAATCTGTTGTCTTTCGGTGTTTGCTTTCATTCCACTGACCAGTGCTCGATTTATGGCTGTCAGTAAAACAAAAGATGTAGATCACAAATCTTTGCTCCCTATTGCTTTCATTGAATATGCGCAAACTCGTATATGCGTACGTAATGGTGAGCCGAGCCAGTCACTGCTTCCATCGTTACTCCGCTTACTTAGTTAACTTAAAAATTCATATTTTATAACCCCGCAATCCTGTCACTTCGGTCTTTCTGCCATCTAACAGAGCGGTCTTCGATCTATATAGCGGTTTCTTTTTGCAAAGCGGCATTTTAGAAGTAAAGCCATCATAGCCATCCCCTTAAAATATCTTTAAGTTTGTGCTTAAGTCTGTGGGTCTCTCTTAAATCTTTACATTGCATTTAAATGTTTTTGTTCGACCAGACTTGAAGTCCCTTTGGGGTTGTCTGCTCTTGTGCCGTAATAATAATAATAATAATATATGGCGTGCACCAAGCCACCAGCCAGCCAAAAGCGTGTTACGTGTTTAAAGGGTGTGGCGTGTCGTGGTGTAGTATGTTGTTTGGCGTAACCCATGAATTTACATTGTTCGCTGTTCTCTATCGTGCTCTAACTCCGGACCGGCTTGTAAATACATTGTGGCCGCTGCATAATCGCATACTGTATACTATATAATCGCCGGCAATGCAGCAGCGCATTGGAAATTAAGATATGTATTCGTACGAAAAAACACTGTTGATAGGCGATGTCTGTATTTCCTATGACTTTGTTGGTGCAGATTATACAGCGTAGAGTATCAGCGATATGCATTTTTACTTTAAATTGTCTCTAATCCATCAGAAATTTTAATAACAGGCTCACCAACGAAGCACGAAGCACGACGAAGCACAGAGAAATGAATATGTACGTATAAGAGTAAGAGAAAAATAATTTTCGTAAATTCAGAGTTGTCAACAACGCTATGGCAGCCAAAAAAAATTGATGTCGTGGGTCAGCGAGCGTTTAACCCACCATAGTCAGGTACTAGAGCGAGTGCGAATATCGATTTGAAAATTGGTGATTCTTAACAAAATAATTCAATTAAGAAAAATTGTTTTTTGGGAATTTTTGTGACCATAGGTCAAGCACGGTGGTTGCCTGCCAAACTGACAGGGATGGGCATCCTGCCATTTGGCAGGTAACTCGCCAGAATTTATAAAAAATCACAAGACGATAGCAGTGAGCAGCACAACCATTTGAACGAAAGGTACTGACGGCCCCTACTGTAACATGAAAACTATAAATTCCGTATCAAATCTTGTGAAATCAGTATGCAATCAAGTAAGATATTAAGAAATCTGGCAAAATAATTGCTACAACACCTAGTGTCTCGATGCATAAAGATGACCAATGGTCACCAAACGAAAAAATATTGAAAAATCTAAGATTTGTAGGGAAAAATTTGGATAAGTAATTTTGAATAAATTCCAAACCGCAAGAAATAATACTTAACTAACAGCGGAGTGGTGTCACAGTTATAAGCATCACAGTTCTCTAGATCTGGTCTATAATACCCTTACTATAACAAGGAAGTGAATAAATTGTATACGCCGGGATGTGACCTATGGTACGGTTTGGACTATGTGAACCCGAATCAAGCGAAGCTTTGCTTCGTAGCGTTTTCTTCTTTTCATACAGCGTTTCTGCAGTTGGCCGGTGTTGCAGCTTTAGTGAAATGCTTAGATAAAGCGGCGGAAGTAAGACCGTGGGGGTTTAATTATTTCGTGCCAATGGATATAACAGTAAGACGTAAGTACCTGTACTGTGAGTGTGGTCAAACAGTACCGGCAGCTGCCGGTAGTCTTTATCGGATTATTAACATAACAGGAGTGTGGTTTAAACTTGTGGTTATAGTGTCTGTCCACTGAGTGTCTGTCCACTTCGAAGTAGAAGATAGATACAATTCATACAAACCCTAACAGGCAACGGCGTAGATATAGGCACACGATGCTTTATAGTGCCGATATAGGTGGCAAACATCGTAGGCCTACCTGTTAATGTTCATTTTGTTGTGCTTATATAATTTTATTTCCTTCTGTATCGTGCTTTATATCGTACAAAGTGGATGTTATACCTTTTTACCATATGCCTGACCAAAAAATGCACTTTTTTACAATTTTTATTTTTATTGACCACTGGTCATCTCCCTGACCATAACAGCGCTTGATGATTGTCCGTCCTTGGAAACATTGATTTAACGGATAATCTGAGAGAACTTTTTCTGTTATAATACAGTAAATCATTTTTTTTTGTTAACAAAATTTGGAGTTTGACTGGCTTGCGTTAATAAAGTACTTTAGGATGTGTTTGAAAAGCATCTGGAAAGTGTTTCGTCTGATGTAGAGGCCATTGGAAAGCGGATGTCAAGTCAGTCAGATCCGCAAAACGGAATGAGGGGGGTTATAAGACGTTGAATGACAATATATCCATTGGCATTTGCGGCTGCCACTGACTGCTTCTACCGGCTGTAGTGCGAGTAGTACGGCTGTTTTTTTCACATTTTGCGAACGTACCAATGCGCAGATCCCCCTCCGACTTCCCAGTTTCGCGGGTGTCGGTGGACGCGAGAGGACGTGGTGGGTGCTGAAGCCAGTAAACTCAATCGTACGACGGTGTCTGTACTCCAGAAGAAAATGGATGAATGGACAAAGATCATGCAGACATGCGCTCGAAAGGCACGTAAGAGGAAAGGGAGACGCCGTCCTTAAAAAATGTGGTAAATTCATTCCCGTCCCTCCCTGTCAAATGGCAGGGTGACGGACTTTTTTTCTACAACTGTCCGATGAGCACACAACTGGTATTCATTAGTTATTTCACACTGGAGTTGTAAACGGTCAATTCAAATAATTGTACCTTCACATACAACATGTCCGAAGCATACACCAAGTGACCAAAGATGACCAAAATCAAAAATTTTGGGTTCTCGAAGGTCTTGGTGGCCCTGCAGCCCCTTGAGCGTCAGATAATTCTTCAATAATCGACCGGAGCGAAGCGAAGGTCCTCTTAATTCAAGACCAATGCATTCGTTGATTTCTGTCCGTTACGGAAATTCGTTACGAAATTGCGTTACGGAAGTAATAGTATGACGTCATCGCAGCCGACAGCAATGATGTCATCGTTGGCACCATGCCGTAATGGCCCTATAGAGGAACACTGCAGCCATTGATTTCTGTCCGTTACGGCCTGCGTTACGAAAGTAACACGTGACGTTACGGCGTGACTCAGTATGCCACGCAGCTGACCGCTATGACGTCACTGCAGGCGTTGTATATGACCTTATAGGCAACTCATCTGACTGCACGGTTACAGCGGATTCATACAGCGGTACTGCAGCGCTTTATTCTGTCAATTCGTTACGGAAATAGTTACCGCAGGTAACAGCCGTGATGTCATTGTTAAGTGTTGTTCTGGTGCGGACCTAGGCGGAAGTTCTTGCAATAATAATTTTGTTCGTTACGCAAGAAACGAAGAACTGTTGATGTGCAAATACATCTCATGTATTTGCACAAAAGAGTGACCGGCAACACTGACCACGGCAAAAAGATCTCCACTGGCGATTTTTGGTGTCTCCTAAGATACCATGGTTGAAATACCAGTCTTTTGGTGATAATCTGCGATATCAAGGAGCTTCATGATAAAACCTTGGTGATTTGATTCTTCTTCTGTCAGTTGGAAGATCAAAACTTATAACTGCACTTCTATACCCGTGGTTATTATTCGCTTCATAAAATAATTTTCACAAAACCGTTTTATCTCTAAAGGTCGCGCGTTCATAATTTTTATGCAATATTCGGGAAATTTGCGGCTTCTCCTACCAAGTAGTTTATCAGCCCTAACACTACCTCCACTGCCCGATCTTTGCAGTCCACTTGTGAAACCGAAGTAACCCTGGGATTTCGTTTAACCAGGGCACTTAGGCATCCTTCAAATTCAAAAAATTCTCATGTTTTGTAAAATGTTAGTGTGCTATCATAGTATGCTTAAAAATATTTTTATCTGCCATCGTCAGCTCTTCAACAGTTAAAAGTTTGCATACAATCATTGTGTAATTAACGAAGTGCAGTACAGGTTATTCGTAATTATATTACTGTATGTTACTTGTTTTTACTGCATCACTGTGTGCTTTTGCAGCCGTCGAGTATTAAATGATGTAAAAGGAGCCAACTTGCGGCGTCTCGGACCAATGCTGCATGAGTACACATTTTCGAAAAATTTTCATCGATTTGTGTTGTAAACAATCATTTGTGCAAAATACTTTTTTCCACTAATAAATAGATCTGAATACGTGCTGTATTGCGTAACAAATTTTCGAAAATGTGCACACAGGCAGGAATGGCACGAGCCGCCCCAAGTGGGCTTCTTTTACATCACTACTCGACGGCTACAAAAGTCCACGGTGCTGCCTGCAGTAAAAAGTTAAAATAGTAATTACGAATAACCTGTACTGCACTGCATTACACAGTGATTGTATGCAAACTTTTAATTGTTGTATAGCCACGCCCCCTTGACGATAGCAGATAGTATTTTTTTAAGCAATCTATGATAGTGCACTACCATTTTACAAAATATGAGAATTTTTTTGAATTTGGAGGATGCCTTTGTGCCCTGGTAAGTCACTGTATGTAACATGTCAAAACAGAAGTCCTGTCGGCGTCTTATTATTTCTTCCTTCTTGACCACTATCTCTTATCTCTTAAACGATATCTCTTAACCGTTCTAGCGCCAATAGAGTTTTCGGACAAACAACTTTTAAAAAGCCTTAAAAAGCGTTGTAAAAATGATTTTGTTTGTTAATTTGTCACACCTTAAGGCTCAATTGTTGAATGTAAAATTTTAGCTTCATCTTTTTCATTTAAAGCCAACGAAATTTTACCAGTTGCTCTACCTGCGTCATGAGGGATACTTTTCTCCGTACGAGTATTATAACTGCCTCAGCCGTAACTGTCAACACTTACCAACCCCTTTATAAAAAATAAACGACAGAAATGTTTTATTGGACAATTTTTTCGTAGTGGACTTGTTTCGTCACACTAACCTCGCTCCGGTCTGCCAATGCACGCCAAACGTGCATTTTTCTAGTATACTTAAGCAGACCTTCCGGTCATAGCTCCAAGTTCATTAAGCGGCCAGGAAATTAATTGGACGATGGGCAGATATGGACACTCAAAAATTTCCTGCCAAGTTTGACAGGGATGGGCATGGTGCTACGCCGCGTTGCCCCGCTGGATTTCGATCGATAGACGCTGGCGTAAGAATTCGTGTGATCGAGGTTCACCAGTGTGCTGCTGCAATTGCTTTTCGATTTCCTTCACTAAAGCGGATGCCGACTTTCCCCAAGGCCCGAATGTTTCGAAAGCTAACGCCGCGAAAATGTATCTGCCGACGAGGTACGCATATTGTCTGGTCTTCCTGTCTTCGGCCTGGGCTGCGGCGGATCCCGCCGCTGTTGAAGTGGACTTGTTGTGCGACAAAGCGACGGTGTCGACGCAGGTGACGTCCCAGGCTAAGCACATGCCACATTTCCAGGCATCCGTCCGGACATTGCTCGGACGTGCCGCGGGGCTCAAGCTTCGCCGGGATACCTGCCGATACTAATAATCGGCACACAAAGTTGCGCTGCATTAAAAACATTCAGAAGGAAAGCATAATACGCAATACGCGACTGTAAGAATTCGTCCTGCAACGTCACATCTTTATAGATAACTTTCTCACAACACGACGCCAGAGCGCTACAACATTTAGCCATGACGTGATAGAAAGCCCTAGCCATATTAGTGGAGTATTATCTCCACTTGTCCGACCACGTCCAATCGGATAGAGCGACTCTTTCCCAAACTGTTACGGATGATGGTAGAAGATAACGTTGATCTGGTTATTCTGGAAGAAGAAGGAAAGGAAAAGAAGAAGAGGTCCGGGTCCTGCAAACACGAGAAACACACACACACGACGGAGAAGTATACGTTACCTGTCCGACGCTACCCAGTAGATGTTAGCAGAAGCGATAAGAGAAATATCCATCAACCTGGCAATACAGGGCATGAAGACGATGAAGAGACCGAAAGGTCACCGGATGCTAGTGGGATCAAGTGGGTAACCTATTACGCCACGAGATTATCCGAAGATGATAATGCACGTCGACGAGATAGAGAAATGACCTCTGACGATAGGTGAAAGGTCACCCAGAGGTCAGTTTGAGCAGCCTCACTCGGAAAGAGAAGACCAGAGCAAAAGCCTGAAGTTAATCAGATCGAGCACAAGCCTCTACTTTTGTTGGGATTACAACTCTTGACATTTGTGTGGGCGACGAGCGCCTTATATAGCCCTGGGCACTCGCAGGTGCGGCTCTTCGTACGCGCAGGTACGGGTCTGAGAACAATAGGGATCTAAACGCTAGCCAATAAGAGACATCTAAGGACACGTGGACTAATCACACCGCTGCATCACTACACGTGGACTAATGAGAACAAGAGGTCAGCTATTACATTAGAACAATAGGTTGTGCTACGTCATGGAAGCGCGGTCACGTCGAAATGGCAAGTCGCGGTCAAAGTTCTCTGCTGGAGATTTCTGAGAAGTCGATACTCGGAGTCGCGGTCATGACTCGCGTAGAAGTTGTAGTAAAGCCTTAGTCGTAGTAGTAGAGGTAGAAGTAGTAAAGTAGTACCGATGTGTACTAAGGGACGCCAGTACACGTCAAGCCATATCTTTAAAATTTTTTACCAACCTTTTTTCAGATGGGCGCGTATCAATATGACGCCGGCAAAACCATTCTCACGATGCGCCGACTTGCTCCGCCCAACACATTCTGAACGCAGTTAATCACAACCGGCGCCCCAGTCTTGATTCTCCGAATACTCACAACCGTAATCCAGAAAGGAGATCGTCCGTGTGGATGGTGCGATGTGCTTGAGGAGACAGCTGGATACCGGTGGTGTGATGTGCTTGAGGAGACAACAAGATCTTTACCAGAAGTAGGCGTGGCAACGGAATACCACGCCCGGTTATTGCAACTGGCTTTTTACGTTCGGTTTTTTGTGTTGGATCCAAGCTGAATCTGTAACTGTCGCCGCACTTCACATAATGATTAATTTCCGTCTTGGCGCGTTCAAAACACTTCACTAATTTCTTTAGAACAATGGCTTTTGCGTCGGAGCGCACCAAATACACCAGGCTATTGCTGAGGATGCTCATGCAGCGCGCGTGAAACCATTTGTTGATATCTTTGTTCCTCGAAGATAGCACACCACCTTTCTGATATCGCCTTGTTTTAATTTCTGATAAAACGATAAACAGCAACACAAACTGCTCCAAAAGCCAAACATTCCATTCGTGTAGAAGCGTGATTGTGTGATTTGCATTTGTGGTTGTGGCCGTCGAGCCACTTACACAACGACAGAATCGGCACGTTCCTAGAGATTTTAAAGGTTTCTTTCCTAACTGCGCGCCGTTTGGTGCTCAGCGGTGCACTCAAAATAAAAAAAAAAACATGAAAGCTGCATAATCAAAGCTACTTGAAGTATGAGAAATTTTACTGCAGTTGTGGGAGCGATTGGGTCTATCGGCTTTTCAACTATTTTCGAAACTTGCGCGACACCTTTCGTATTCAAAGCGGTTGCGCAATTCGGAATACGCAGATACAGGGATTCGTTCTCAAACGCCAAATTTTCGCAGATTACGATATTAGCAATAGTTGCATAACCGCGTATTGCTTAATCCAATACAGTCAAAATTAATGATGAATCGGTCCCAGCTACATGAGACATGGTTTTGAATAAAGCACTTTAATACCACGCGTTATTTCCAAACTAAAACGCTGAAAACAAGTGCAACGATCCTCGCTCTTTCTTATGAAAGTTTCCTTTCGATCTCCTGGGTTTTCTTCCTAAGTGAAGCGGTACCCGTAACCGTTTCTTGGGTTCACTGATATGATGTTGCTGCAGCCACACCCGATCTGGACGACGGAACAATCCGGAAGAATTAAATTTACCGGATATACTGCCGCAAAACCAGAAGGTAACCGTTTTTCCGGGACCTTGCGCCGGATGTGTCACCCAGCCCACGAACAATTCACGTTACTCCGCTCTGAATTTATTCCAAGTGCAAGTTTTGTCACGGCACCGGCGATACTAATGTACCATCCACTACACCCCACTATTTTGCACCAGAAGTTCAGGAACTCTAAGGTATAATAGTGACAGTTCAAATCCGAAAGTTTTCTCAGACTTTCGGATGTAAATTTTATGGTGTCTTATCATTCGGAAGGGGAACAGGTGTCTGCAGAATCACTTTTAACTAAAGACGTGCACTGAATCCTTCTCTAACTTTACATTAGGCTTAACTGATTTATTCCATTCTTGCTTTCGCTTGGATTAGCTTTCGCTTTAACATTAAAGCTATTGTAAATCCTCGCACATAGTGCATTTCTTCCTATCTAACAATTATACGCGTAAGTCGTAACAGAGCCACCCATTCTCATTTCCTGCAATACAGTCAATGCCATACGACTTAATTGGTTTACATCCACACCCCACACTTCCATTGATGTCCACCGACAACCGCGATACTTGGACGTTGGACGGGGATCCGCGCTTTGGTAGTTGCGCAAAATCTAAACAACATGGAGACGTGACGCAATCAGTGACTGCTGCTTAAAACCTAAATAACGCGCAATTTCACCGCGGTCACCTAACCTTGGCGATTCTTTGGGTATGCTGATTCCCGAGACGGGATATCCACTCGCCAAGGCCGCCACATCCGATGAAGCCTCCACCAGATGCTTTTCAAACATATCCCACAGTTGCGTCACATTCAGCCCATTTAAAGTCAAGACGCCGTATGGAATGCGCGACTGCAGGAGCTCTCCTGAAACTCCACATCTTTGTAGATTATCTTGTCACAACACGACGCCAGCGCGCGGTAGCCGTCGGCCATTTCTTTAAAATAAACTTCCAAGCTTTTTCCGGTGTAGCGCGTGTCGATGCGACGTCGACAAAAAATCATTGACTGGATACGTCGGCCTGCACTGTCCAGCATTTGTTGTACACAGCCCATCACGCCGGCACCCCAGTCTTGCGTTCTCGACCACGTGTGGTCGTAGTCCAGGCAGCAGACGGTGCGCGTCGCCGGAGTGAGATGCTTGAGGACGCAGTTGTACACCGGGTAATACGCCAAATCCTCGCGCAGCCAGCGCGATGAGTAAACACGGTGGTCGAACGAAACCCGCTCATCGCTGCACATTGTGGCTGACATCAGAATGGGCTCCCACGCGTAGCAGACACGCCGGTATCGCTGGCGATCGACGCTGTCCAGTGACTGAAAGATCTCCACCAACAGCTCGGGCGGCAGCGGAATTTCGCGTCCGTCAGCTGCAGCTGGGCCGAGCTGGCCTTTTCTTTTTGGTGGGGCCTGGTATTGGATTTCCGAATCGCGGGAATCCCACGACGCTTTTCCTAGTCATCACAGAGCCATGATTCGCTCTGGAAAAACTTTTCGCCTGCAAAGATTATGGTACTCGAAGAAACCGGTCATCGCCCGAATACATCGGTCCGAAGAAATACAACAAAACTGGATTAACAAATGTAAACTTCGAAACAACCCTGGATCTTCGAAACTTCGAAACTTGTTTCTGCAGTCAACACGGCCATGGTCGAGCTTTGGATATGATTGATTTACGAAGTGGCTATTTTGCCGCACTACGGTCGGCGAAATAGGATGGTGACTAGATTATTATCGCCCAACAGTCGCGATATACGGTCCGGTATACGATACGGTGGGACACCGTATCGTGACCGTACCGTTGAGAAGTTGGAGTGATCGCAACGCGCAGACGATAAACGATACCGGGTCCAATCCTGCCTCTGAGGTGAAACATGCTGTGTTTCAAATCAGTTTTAAGGTCTTGGCATATGATAGCAATCGTTCTGTTGAAAACCTGATGAAAACTAAAATTCTAAACTATTTTTTGATACTAAAACATCCAGACTTGACAGCCCATGAATCATTCTACAAACATTTGAATTTTAACACAGGCCCCTATGGAGTTCAAAATAATGACAGCTCGGGCAGAGTACTCCAACGGCTCCGTAAGCTTTGCATGCTAAATTCACATGGCTGCAGAATAGTTCGTTTTCAGATAAACTGCACTCGCTTGGTATCAAAAAATTCCCTAGAATTTTATCTTTCTTCTGATATTCTTTTCTGACGAATCAAGAACAATTAAAATCTACCAGAACAATTTTAAAGTTGCATGATTTGGCAGCTGCACACGTTGTGCTTCATGCCACTGCCACTAAAGGTGGTGGCTATATCGCAGATGTCAACGGTAGGCATTACGATATCTCAGCCTTCTACCGTCAATCCTACCGTCAAACGGTCCGGTAAGGGTACGCCGTGATGACGTAGAAGAGCCTACCGTATATCGTACCGTCTATCGTAAGTCCATTTTGTGTTGCGATAAGAATCTACTATTTCACCGCACCCTGCGGTTATACTGTTAAACAGCTCGGGGCTATTTTGCAGCACCCACACTGTTTCATCAGCTGATTACATATATGTTGCATATTGATTGTGTGTGTTATTTACGGAAATTTCTGAGATTTTAGGTTTTGATCTTTTCTTATGTGTTTAATGTTATTTTACATTTTTCTTATATATTTTTCCTTATTTGAATTTTTATGAGTTTCTTATGTTGCATTAAATCTTCTGTTATGTTTTTTTACGGTTTCGCGTGTTTTTCTTACGAATTTATGTTTACAGTACTTACTTTTCTTATGGTTTTATTCTTTGTTGTTCAAAGTTTTCATAGATTTATCGGTGTTTTATTGCTTCCCGGCTTCTTGTTCTTTAAGCTTTAACGATAAAATTGAAAAAAGCATGTATCAGAAAAAAATTTTCTTTTTGGCGTAGTAGGCGGCAAAATAGCCAAAGAGCTATTTCGGTGCGCATACTTTTAAATCAGGCGGTCTGCCGCTTAGACGTTGAAAATGGTAGAGCCTCAAGTTAACACGGATACCAACGCATACTCATTGATACGTACGAGTGATCGGCAACAACTGGATTTTCATCGCGGCGCTGCAGGTACGCTGTATATCCACTGAGGGCGGTTATGCTTCGGGCATTAAAATATTCGCTAAGGTCTCGGGATAAAACCGCGCCCGTCGCCGAATTAACGCACCGCGTGATAAAGTCGTGGTGCTTGATAACCCGTCGGTGCATCTCTTGTTCGGATGGCTGATACCGCAGTTGCGCCCGAAGCACCAGTTCGCGAAGCACAAATCCATCCAACTGGACTTCCACGAAAAACAACTCCGATGAGTGCTCGATCGCAAACATGAGCAATTTAGCGGGAGACCACGCCCACGGACCCTCGGGGCGGGCCCGGAGTAACGCCTGCACGGGCGGCTGGTCAGCGCCCGCGGGTGGTGGGCAGTATCTGTCGCTCCATGGCGCGGGGGACTTCGCATCCGGCGAGAAGCTTTCTTCATCGGACTCCGAACCAAAGACCTTCCCGAATTCCACCAGCACCGCACGCTGTGCAGTAAAGTAGAAATCAATAAGCAGGCCGTTCTCCGCGACGTCAATAACGCTGCCATGCTGCAGTGGTCCGTGCTCTTTCACCAGTACATCCACTGAATTCCATGCTTTCACTTTTCGCTTACTGGTTTCGAAGAAATGCATCTCACTTTAGAACTGGGACACAAACCACTTATGACGCCCTCCTGCGACGAGTAATGTAAATGTCGAGAAATACCGATACACAATAAATGTTTTACAGGTGCGGATGACAGCAGCCCTCAACAAGGACCATGGACTAAACGACTGGTAGCAAATACACTCGCTGCGGGCTAACGAGCAATCAGATATCTTAAATATTGCTTGTGCTATGTACTCGTAGATTACTCGCCTCATATCGTGCTTGTTATCCTTTCCATACAGTAGATATGATAAATAACCAAACGCTTTGTTGGTTATCACATGTATACCTAATGAGGGGTGAGCACTTGTAGCTTTGTTGCATAGCTGTACCAAGTTTTCAAAATTGGTGAAGCGTTGTCGTTACAGTACGGTACGACTCGACAGCGAAGTGCTGTTTCTCCAGAACATAACCATATCAGAATATAACCAGGGGTTATATTCTCCAGAATATAACCATTGTTCGTTTGTTGCAAGCAATGGATCATCGACGAATCGTAAAGATAATGGTGCAGTCGATCGCCAGATGCAGTAGTTCGAATGCGCTTGGGCAGCCACTCTGTAAACCATACAGTGAACATATCATAATAATTATTGTATGAAGATCAGAAGGAAATGGCCCGCGTTCAAGTTTTGACTTCGACTCCACTGCAAAATGCGCTGCAAAATGTCAGTAACAACAGTACTACACAGTAATTACGACAACTGTGCTTCGGTTATTGTTTAGAGAACACGTCCCTAACCTAAAGTTACAAGCTGAATTAAGAATTTCAACGCCTGTTTCTATCAGTATCAAATACATCAACCCGAGTATCTCTAAAATAGAAACAAGCGCAGAAACCTAGCACAAGTAATCGTAAACCGTAAACGTAACACCGAAAGTCCTTTTAACAGGCCAAATTTTATAAATGATTACTCTAATGTTTCAAGTGCTCTCGCTGAATTTGATACAATGTTTTCACTCAGACCCAGCTCCATTACAGTGCATGTGAAAGTTCACACGAATTAAATTTACCACTAATCGTGAGCCTATAATAATAATTCATCCGTGCTCGGCTTGCACAGTACATCTGTTGCTGGTAATACAATACAGTACTCAACATTAAACAGGCCACTGCAGTACAGATAGGTACAATGTCATACACCGCAGTGACCATTCTGAATTCAGGCTACGAGAGCACGACCCGCAAGCTTGTGTGTAAAATGTTTGGCTCAGGCAGCAATGCCACCACGGAAGGAAGTTGTGATCTCCTTGGTGGTATTCCATCTAGCGTCCCGGTCTCAGACCCGGTTTCCATCTCTTATAACAAGAAAGTCGAATTCTGATGATACGTCGTGCAAGCACAATGCCTTGTTTGCTTTTTATTTACTTATCTTTTGATTTCTTGATCGGTGAATATCGCAGACTCGATTGGGCTTATTGTGTTATCAGCGCACATGACTAAGCAGCAAATAAACAGCAAGCACCACTGCATATTGCCGGTGTGATTGCTGTATGCAAACGTATACTGTAATGCAGCAGCTCTTACTACCGCTGGCTTTCTTTTGCCGGCTCCAGAGACTGCTTAGCTTTCCACAGCGCTCGTTGGCAAATTCTGGACTAACCAACGGTTTTCGTTATTATTCCCGTGTTGTGGTTGTTCTGCAGGTTTTCTTAGAACCAGATATCACGGTACTAGCTCGCATACACCTTTTGATTTTAGCGTGGAGGTCGGAACATCTGCCGTAGCGATCACGGGAGGACTTTCGCTTTTAAATCACTGCACACTTGTGTCATTGCAGTATGTATCTGTACGAAAATAGGATTCGATCAGTGCACACGTGGAATAGTGTGGACGTGGAAGTGAATGGAATACTGCAGCACGGCTACCTTATCGGCCTGGAAGATATCGATGGCGGCTCGCAACGCCTTATCGTGGATTTCAGATGCCCAGGACAACGGTTTGTGTCCATTGAATACGGGAACGTCCTGGACAGTTCCGATAAGACGATTAACGAATTGTGGACGCGGCAGAGCCATGAAATAGTCACTGCGCTAGCAGGTAACAGTCATCCTAGTGTGGAGGTGCTGCTCCGCGATAAGCCTAATCATCCATGGAAATGGTATCCCGCTAAGTTGCTTAAGTGCATCTTGGCTTTACCGACTCGCGCTCTGGTCGAGGTGAAGCTAGCAAAACAGAGTATCCGCAAACTACTGCAAACAAATGCGTTTGCCGCTTTCGGCAGAAGCACGTCAGCTCAGAATACTTCATCCAGGCCATTTCGTAATACGGTTGTTAATCTTTCCTGACGGATGTTGGACCACTTTGGAGCCTGCGGTGGCAAGGCGGATGCACCGTGCAATGCAGGGTGACAAAATGCGCATTGTATCTGTCGTTGGTGAGATGATGACCTATCTGCAGCGGTGTGATGACAATCCGCTGGATGTTGAGAGAGAACTAAGTTAAAAGTAAATTCTATAAATTAAAATCTCCCATTTATGTTTCGTAAAACAAGGGAGAGTATAAAGACGTTTGGAAAATTAATTTTTATTCGCGTAGAGCAGCATTTTCTCATCCTTCCGCAGTCGCATACACAGCGACACTGAAAGAGAAGCCCACCACACACCAGTAAATGGGACGAACCGAGAGGAAGCAGTGGTTAATGACAAGATCAGTTTGATGCTCCCAACAGAGATTCTAAAGGAGATTTTCTTGTCTCTGGACATCATCGACCAGCAACGATGTCGACGCATCTGCCTCTGTGGGCAACTTCTAAACTCGGCAGAACTGTACCGTGCCATCCATGTGCATATGCATCCCAAGAGCTTGATTATTTTTCCGAATTCCGATTATGGCGCTTTCGCGTGCATCGTCAAGTATTTTACACCATCAACGCATAGCACCTTCTTGCGGGATATCATCACTTTCGGTTTGAACAGTAAAGGAGGACAGGAAGTCCAAAGTAGCGCCGGTACAGCGGTCAACTGCATTCAGCATTTGCTGGAACGCACCGGCGCTCACCTGGATCGAGTGGTGCTGTTCGACAGCAACACGTCCGTCTTTGGACGTCACTGGACTCTGCATGATTTCTTTAACAACCTGGCGCAAGCATATTCCAGAATGGCACCGTGGTGCCCTCGGATAATCTGGAGAAGTTGTTCGCTTTCTTACTGCCACGATAAGTACGACATCGTGTTCCGAATTCCCGATGCGTGCTTCAGTCTGCGGGCCCTTAATGCAATACAAATTTGGGACTTGTTTGAAGAACATCTGAACTATGGAAAGCAGCTGGAAGTGGAGATTATTGCACAGTGGATAGAAGAGCATATCAAAACGAAATCCGCCAAAAATTGCGTTCCGATCATTCAGGTAGCGTGCGGGGTTTTTTATTACAGCACATTCGCGTTGCAATGAAAATTATATCGCAGATTTTGGAAGCGTGCCAATGCTGCGATCCGCGTCCTTCAATCTGTTTTAACCGAAAGTGGACCCTAGACAATCTGGACAGCTTAGAAACTGGAAAATTAAATCGATTATGTTTGTATGCTTTGTCATTTTACATGCTTAAGTGGAGCGGAACATTCTCTGTAAACCAGCGCAAGATGTGACGAAGAATAAGAAAGCGATTTATTGAAATGCTTTTACAGCCAAGTTGCGTTTTTAAGTTAAGCTGTTTCGGATTCGGATGTTAGGCACGTTAAGCGTAAAAGTGACTTTCTATCTATAATATTTCATGCCTTTTTTGCAACAAGCGAGAAACGGATTCAGTGCAAATAATTTTCAAGACGGTACGTTTCTGAGCAGTTTCATTGATGCGGATCTTTGAGGTAAGGATTTATTGGGGTGTGAACTTGCAGCGATACCGTTGTGGCGCAATGTTTGCGTGCGTTACAGATCATAACCGAATTTATCCGTTCCAGCATCACCAATTATCAATTAAAGGCAGGTACCGGTGATTAAACGGTACACTTTTTACATGGCCAACATCTGGGAAACCCAAAAACAAAGAGCCAACACGGTTCGCTTTATTTTGGCATCCTTAGCCGTGTGAATCAACGCAAATCTTCTAAGATCCCGCTGGAATCAACAGCGCTCTACAAATGTCTTCTGTAACAATTCGGCATAGAGTACAACAGGTTTATAATCCTTAGGGCCATCGCCGCAGTTAACGCGGCAGTGCTCAACGTTCGCCGGTTGCAGCAGAAACGCGGCAGAGTGCTGTAAAAATTCATCGTTACGGCTTATGATGGGCAATAAGTAGCAGTCTTTGGGTTTCCATTTTTTGCTGCAAATACCGCCAAAGTTAAACGGCTCAGTTGATTCACATCGACGCTCAACAATTCATCTACCGTCCACCAACAGCCGCGATAATTGGTCGTTGGACGGGGATCAGCGCTTTGGCAGTTGAGCAAAATCTGAGCAACACGAAAAAAAACAAGCGGTTAGAACAAGTATCGGAAACCAAAGAAGTGCGATCTGAAAAATTAGCGCACACAGCCGGCAAGAAGAGTGATTAAACAGTCATGTCACCTGGATCGTGGTGCTGCCTTGGTCTAGCCGCGTAAGTTCCGCGCGTCTCCACTCACCCGCGCTCGCACGCGTTATCCACTCTTTCAGAACCGCCAGATCTGGCGCTCCAGCATCCAGATGCGCTTCAAACACATTCCAAAGTTGTGTCACATTAAACGCGCTCAGAGCGAAAACAGCGTGCGGAACACACGACTGCACGAACTGGTCCTCCAACGTGACATCTTTATAGATAACCTTGTCACAAGACGATGCCAGTTCGCGGTAAGCTTCCGCAATATCTGCGAATGTTGTGGCCACGCTCTTTCCGGTGCTAATGCGACGCTGACAGAAAATCATTCGCTGAATGCGCCGACCAGAATCGGCCAGCATTTGCCGCACGCAGCTAATCACACCGCCACCCCAATCCCAAGTACTCGGCCAGTCCTTGTCGTAGTCGACGAAGGATATGGTGCGCGTGGCCGGTGTAAAATGCTTGAGGACGCAGCTGTATACTGCGTAATACGCTAAATCCTCGCTTAACCATTGCGATTTAAAGACGCGGTGGTCGAACGACACCCGCACCTTGCTGTATACTTCGGGTGACGTAAGGATCGCCTCTCATGCGTAACAGGTGCGTCGGCACCGCAGACGACTGATGGTGTCCAGTGACTGGAAGATCTCTGCCAAAAGCTCTCGCGGCATCGGAATCCCTTGTCCGCTTGTTGCAGCTGGCGTTTTGCGTTTAGTTTCGGAGCCTTCGGTGAGCGGTGGATGCCAGCTGCGCCGATAGTTGACGCCGCATTGCACATATTCTTCCGCAAAATCCTTTGCTCTTTCAAAACGTTGCGCTAATTCATCAGTCACGACTGCTTCGGCGTTGTGGCGCTGCAGATATATAATGCGATCGCTGAGAACGCTGAGAGGTTTTGCCTCAAAATGCTCGTGGATTTCTTGGGAAAACGCTGCTGAAAGGGCCGGCGTGATACACTGCTAGTACCCGGCCGGCAGCGCAACGGAACGTGTGACAAAATCGCCGAGCTTACTGAGTCGCCGTTGCATGTCTTCGTCCGATGGTTGATACCGCAACTGGCTGGAAAGAACCAGTTCGCGAACCGTTGCTCCACCCAAACGCACTTCCACGAAGAAGAAATCATCGGCATGCTCGAACTCGGACATCGGCATTAGCAGAGTAGCGGAATGCCACGCCCATGGACCATCCGGGCGTTCCCTGAGCAGTGCTTGCAGGGGTGGCTTGTCAGCGCCGTTATGCAATGGGCGGGACCTGTTGTCCCAGTCTTCCTCGTTGGAAAACGAGCCGAACACCTTCCCGAATTCCACGAACACGGAGCGCTGTCCGGTACAGTAGACGTCAATGATCAAACCGTTGTAGGCAACGTTGATGACGTTCCCGTGTTGCAGTGGTTCATTCGCATTTACCAACACATTCACTGAATTCCATGGTAACAATGTCCGTCCGCTGATTTCGTAGAAATACATTGGTTGCTCTGGGATAATCAGGTAGTCTATCGCTCTTCACGTCGGGCGGCATCCACGGTAACTCAGCTTTCCCTTCTGACGATAAATGCAGTTAGTTTTAGAGCGCGGTAACAGGCAGCTGTAAAAGCAGTCTTGCTAAGTACCATTTTATGGTGCAAAGTGCTGCCAAGATAAGACACCACATAAACAGCAACTATCAACGAGCTTAAGTCATAACTGATTAAGGCATGCTGTGGATAATGGTACGATGCATGGTAATTACTGAATTATCATAGCAGAATTATGTCTTTAGAATTACGTCTTATCATAGTAAGCTTTCAGCTGTACTATTGAACTAGATATATATTAATTAAAAAATATACTGGATATTAATTTTGTCATAACGCTCGTACAGTAAATATATCAGATTCAACTGTAAAAGAAAACATTTCAAGAGAAACAGGTGTGACGGAAATATGTTAAAAGTAAACAAATCTGTTTCGTCTTTGCAAGCAGAAGATAACATTCACTTAGGATAGTACTCGTAACTTCTCTTCTGGCAAGGAGCTGTTGTCGCGCAATAAGCGATTATGAAAGCAACCGTGGACCAAAAGAAACGCGGCAGCGAATACGGTTCTTGTCTGCTTTATAGTGTCGGTTTATTCGGAGATGCGGAGACTTATTTTGAGATTCTCGAAAATCAACTTTTGCATTGCCAGCGCAAAAGTTTTAGTTGAGCACTTTCGTCTGGAACGGCTGGAGGTCGTTATAAATAATCAGTTGACTTAAATTAGATGAGCAAAACATTGCCCGTAAAAATGGAAGAAATGTTTTACACAAATGTACAATTTTTAATACAGCTTCTAAGACAAATGTTTAACACTGTTTTCAACATACACTCGTACTAACAAAATTCGCGCCAAGGAGTTCCGGAACCATGTTAATTGAATCAGTAATTGCCGAGCCAAATGGAGTTATAATTGTAAGTGAGACAGAGTACTCGATACAGCGGTATACGTTTTATTACTAATCCTTGTATAGATACTACGGCTGTCATCTTCAAGATTTGAGTTCACAAGGGCAGATTTAAATGGATGTGTTTGCCCTGTCATGTCAGTAATTACGGCGGCCGCGAGATGTAATCACGAGCTCATAATAATCCCAAATCTTCCTAGCTGGCGAAAGAAGGAATAAGAGATATCACGTATCAGCTCGCACTTATACTGACTGCGGATTCATCTGAAAGCGTTGACGGCCCGTCATGGCATTTTATTTCTCAACAGACGGCCGTTTTGATATATCTGGAAGTCACAGAAAAAGCAGGCAAGATCCACGTCATTGTTCCGGAGTTCGGCATAATTTATTGCGGAAATGCCCTGCAGTATGCATTTCTTTAAGGTTCGTATCACGCAGAGATGGGGAACTCCCGACTGCATATAAAACCTGGTGACTTCAGTCATCTCGAGAATCACTACTCTCTAAATTCCTTATGCTGCTGATGCGCCACAATGAATCTCTCGCAGCCCCTGTTCAATTCCACAGCAGTGTGTAGTCGGGTTAACTTGGAAATCATCACGCTGTCATTTCTGTATCCGGTGATGTTGGGATCCATGACGTACGTCGGGCCAGCGTATCGCCTGGCCTTGGAAGGCATTCGGCAGTCGTATCCCCGCCTGAACGTCACGCATACGATCATTGCCGATGAGAAGTACCGCGACTGTAGTACCTTCGCCTACGATGTCGTTGATCTTACCGCTGAGCATCTCCAAAATACAGGGACGCTGACCCCTGAGCCACACCGTGATAAATGTTCGGCCAGTGTAATGCTATTTACCGGTGAGTGGTGGCTTCAGGTATCTTTTCTTCGGGTCGGATGCTAGTACTTAATTTGGTACTGATTCATGATACTTATGATTACTGCCGTGCACCAGCATACTATATAACTTTTCTCCACACTATTGAAATAATGCTTGGAAATAGCAGTTCCCATTTCTCTTAGGATGTGCCGAAATTCCGGAAATTGTGCCCTTCGCGACGCAATTGGACAAGCTGATAATAACTACGTGCGTAAGGAAAATGTGGATGACCGCTGTTAGTCTACAGACAGACATGACGGCCTTGTGGGCACCGTATTGACGTGTACAGCGACCTAATTCATAATAGTTATTATTATTCTTATTATTATTATCCAACTGCAGAGTGCATTAGCCAAACCGCGATATTTAACGGAGATGCCTTACCAAAGTACTGGAATATTTTTGTTTACGTTTAAAATGTTTTTTCGGACGAAAGATCAGGGAGAGAACTGGAGAAGGCCGATCCACGGCGTTTTTGAAGCAGCGTATTAGCCTCGCAATTATTAAAGGAAACGCTGCGGCTGTTTTGGGAACTTTACCGGGAAAGAACAAACTGGTTGATAATGCTGATTTTGGTTGTTTTTTTAATTCTTAACTGTGCACTGATGGCCGTAGTTAATGGAACTATGACTGTAATGTCGCGATTTGAAAATTAAAATGTACTATAGTTTAAAATGTTTGTACTGATTTTCTTCAGCTTTCTGAGATAAACATTTCCCAACTTACGAGTATTTGGGAATCGAAGCTACGAGCGATGGGCAGATTAAGTACCATAATGCGCAATATAATCATTATCGACCTACAATAGCTGTATATCGTTCTCAAATTCTGCACGCCATGTGATTTGCTCGTACCATGCGCATCTGACATGTTCTTACTACCCGTAGTGTCGCTACTAGCCCGAATCTCCGTAAGAAAACACTGACACCCACGTGGATCGGAACAACGTGCAATTCGTTCCAAATTTATCTGACTATGGTGCTGAGTGTCGTGAAAAGGTTCCGTTGGACGTCCGTGGGTGTAATATGCGACACCGGGGCCAATGCCGGTGGTTATCCGGAGTTTGCCAGCGAATCGGCTAAGATTTTAATCACAAATGGCAGGCAAGTTTATCAGGAATTCTACAGCTCAAAGACTGCGACCGTTGCCGATCGCATGGATGTTCTTCGCCGCATGAACGATCGAGCTCGAGGTTATTGTGCGCGTATCAGTATTTGATATTATATACTGTGTACTGTTATTATGGGTGAGACGCATTTTTGTTCTCTGGTTGCAGTGTACTTTTATTTTGGAGATTACAATGAATTTCGACGATTGCTTTTGGCGGCTGCAAATCTTATCATGACCAATGGGGAACATGTAAGCACTTACTACTAAGCACAGCATACATGATAGCTACTTAGGTATTTTTTAAATCCCGCAAATATCGTTAAATTAATGTGCTTTTTTAGGTGTACATACCTATGGCGGGATTTAGAAAAAGCTCGGCACCCGGTTACTATTCATGGAACAAGGGTGACAGTGACGATGAGGTAAGAATGCAGCAGACATCGTTTTCCCCAGGTTTGTAAGTGAAATGTTGTAAAGGGTCAATTACATGTATTCTGCCAGGTAATACCGCTTCTGTTGTACTTGGATGTGTCTCATATTTCGGTCGCTTTAAGTATACGGTTTCATATTTCGGTCACCGGTCACTTACACGCTTACACCAACCCCCAAGTGGCGCAATACATGAATAGCTGCTGATCGCACAACGCATTTTTTTATGTGTTTCTCTCTGGTCTGCAGTCATCAAAACAAAATTAAAAAGGTTTGAATTTTGAAGTTCTGATGTTCGTAAATGCGGTTGCAAGACCTTGCACGGTTGCACCCGGTCCAGTTCCTGTTCTTCCTTTTATTGAAGTTTTTTGTGGATTCATGCTTTGAAATTCATCAGGGAAGTTTTTACTGTGAAAGCTATTTATTTCGGCTATTTTTGTTTTTGTCTGAAAATTTTGACACCAGTTGACCGAAATATGAAATCCTAAACTGAAAGTGACCGAATTATGGGACACATCCAAGTATTTGTAAATGTCAAAATGCTACGTGCTGATGATTCGTTATTGCATTAAGCTTATAGGCACTGCTCTTGATCGTGCTGCGCGCAGCCTGGTAGCTTTTGAATTAAACTTTTAAACGAGTAAACATAATTATCAAACCAAAAAATACTTAAAAATAAGCCTTGTCCGGGTACTTTATAATATGTAGACCGGTGAAGTCCCGCTTTGTACATTCTTGATATTACTGTACATACCCTTAAAAAACTGGAACTACAGATTGTTAGGCAAGCTTACCGTTCTGTTCTGCTGATGGAACTCAACGAAGCGGTGTACGGGAGAACCAACAGATCAGGAAATTTCACCCAGCAAATGATTGACGGATCCAAGGAACTGTACAATTACACTTACAAGCCTTTCGAACTGGTGAGGATGTTGTGTAGCAGAACATAATCATCGCAATTAACTGTTTAAATTACGGACGCAATCAGCTCGATGCTATGTTTTCCTTCAGGTGACCCCGCATCCGGCAGCCACGTATGCGACGATGATGGTTCTCGCACAGGTAGCGCTATATATATAGGACGAAGCAAAAGTAATTAAGTAAGCAAACCAGCTCAAAATCAGGCGTGCGTCATATTCTGTCACTGGCATTTAAACTGGATACGCAACATGCAGACACTGTACGTGCAAGAAGATAAAATTAACATAGGTAATGGAACAATTGCGTTCGACCGGGAATCAAGAGGTGTGGTCGTCTGGGAGGCAATTCGCCAAGCAGTTTATGAATCGCACTTTCACGACCGACGTCGGAGACGTGTGCATTGATGAGGTTGGAGAGCGCCTGCCGGCGATAAACCTGAACCAGCTGGACTGGAATACGTCGCGTGTGCGAGTAAGTACAAAATAATATTAATTTTTTCGCCATCTTCGAGTAGATCCTAATAACTTAACAGCCGAAGAAAAATTGTGCGTAGGCGCTCTATGTCCTAAAAGTTCCCGAGTTTACGCTGGTGGAAGCGGGGGAGGAACCGCAGTGGTTAATTCCGTGGCCGCCACCCAATGAACCGCGATGCGGGTTTCGCGGAGACGCCCCGAATTGTCATCCGAAAGGTGCATAAAGTAGTTGAACAGCCTCATGAGGATCTAATCAGCCTACCGTACCCAAGGCTTGGCGGTAAAAAGTAGAACGTGAGTAGACTGGCTTATATTATGAACCGTGATGTAGACACATTTGACAGGAACAATGGAAACCATAATTGGCGCTAGCGTGGGTACGATCGCCGCCACCGTGTTCTTCATCTTTGTTGCCGCGGTTTTTGTGAGGTATGTGATAACTGCAATCTGTCCCTGTCCACACCGATTTAAGGTTTCATACCACGCTTCGCAATCAAGGGAAGTATTCCGGTACATAGTACCAAATTACTCTACATATACGAATACTCTCGAGTTCGTCTCCAGCGAAAGTTTGCGCACAGGTACGCAAATCTCCCTTGTACCGGCGCGCTTCCCTTAAAAACCAATATCAGATTCTGTTTTTAGTGTACTTGACTACTGACTACCGTAGTAACAATAATAATAAATAGTAATAATAATTAACGAAAAAATAATATTAATTAATAGACATGTTTAATAACTGCAGACGTGCCACGCGGAACGCCTTCACTTCCGAGGCGTGGCGGATCCGATCCGAGCAGCTGCAACCGGTACGATCGAGTACAGTTTGGACAGAAAAATCTGTCCAAACATTTTATTACAGTAATTGTGCATCACAGAAGATCAAACCGTTTTTGGATTTAGTTGGAGGATAAGAGCAATCGCGTATGGATATATCTTAAGCGCAACCAAACGGTGTGGATCAAGCCGGTGTCTGCCGCCACCGCATCCGCTGTTGAAACTACTTTCCCACAACTAAACAACCATCTGCTGCCATTGCTAAAAACGGTAACAGCCGGTAGCAGTGTTTCCTCTGCAGGAGTTTCCTCAGTACGCATTTTTTATTGCATAATAGATACTGGATATTGACCACGATAACGTCTGCCGCTTCGCTGGATTATGTTTTCTTGAGAAGTCCGTGCTGATGGTGTCAGAGTACTGCCCGCGTGGCTCGGTAGGCGAACTGATGGCCAGGACCATGTTGGAGTTTGATTTGCAAACGTCGTTCTTGCTCGACCTCCTTAAGGTAAGGAGATCTGGACCAGACAGCCGTCTGCTGGTTTTTATTGGAGCAGCTTATCCGCCTTATCGTCCACATACATCTTCCCATAGTCAATAAAAAAATCTGGTGATTAATTTCTTACGAAAAGGCGTTCAAGGTACAGTAGGTACACAACAAGCGCGTTTCTGACGGTCAATATGGTGGCCAGTACACTAGAGTTATCGAAGTAACAAATTCAACACAGTTAATGCGTTTGTATGATTATATCATCTTCTTATTAAGTACTTCTCGTTTATTTTCAACATCAACTTATTTTTCAAATATGTATGCAACTTAACTTTACCCATGGATTTGTAATTTTCTCGGTACCTTTACGCAAGGAATTACCGGGCTTGTCTGCTGCACATTTCTGTAGTTACCTTTATTATAAGTGTTTCAGCTTTTTATTTTACCAGGGTTTACAAGCAATACACCGGTCTGCTGTAAAGTTTCACGGATTTCTTAGCCTTCACTGCTGCTTACTGAATCGGCATTTTAGCCTGAAAATTGGAAAAACTGGTCATACGCAAATTGAGACCGCCTTAACACGAAACAGTGCCATTCTCGAGCTGACAAACCGCCATAGTACGAACAAAACTACAGCTCACGAAGACGGACAGAAAAGCGACATGTTGGCAACTGGGCTTATTTTGTACCAGATCGTTATCCAAGAGGAACCGTTTGAATCACGAGGTCAGTGCACGAACCGTCGTGAGGAACCAATGTTGATGAAACTAGATTAATAATTTTGATGTTTCGGGCAGAGTTTATGTACAAGCGCATCGCGGACCACGCTGGGAGCCATTCTCGAGCTGACAAACCGCCATAGTACGAACAAAACTTGGGCTATTCGAGACCCCCCTCGACCATGTACTATTTTTTTAAGCCAAATCTGACCACGTATTAATGATCAGCGAATTTTTCTGATCTAGAAAGTATTTTTTAAAATATTTTCCGGAACAAAAAAAATCTGACTGCCAGCCCCCTTGGGCCCCCACAGTATCATGGACGGTAGCAATGGGATCAGAGACGAAAATTTTATTTTCGTCTCTTTTCCATTGTTTCTAGGTAAATCCATAACGCTGTATTCGAATTTGATAATTAAAATATAACATGAGCTACGGATAAAAAGATTTACGTAAAACAAACAAGGATTCACACAATTGATGTGACATCGATTATCGACACCTTTCTGAACAAAAAGTTCTTCCACACTGCTTATATCAATTTTTTATCATCAAATTCGAATTCAGCGTTATGGATTTACCTAAAAACGGTGAAGAAGAGACGAAAATAAAATTTTTGTCCTCGAGAAACACAGCGCAGCACTTTTGGGAAACACTTTAGAAAAATGGGAAAAATATAGTCTAATCGGGAAAGATTGCAGTAAAAAGCCAAAAAAACGAGAAATATGTTCGGGAAACCTAGCGCAGCAATTTTGGGAAACACTTCTAAAAAAACGGGAAAAATACAGTCAAATCGGGAAAGATTGCAGTAAAATGCGAAAAAACGAGAAATATGTTCGAGCAACCCAGCGCAGCACTTTTGGGAAACACTTTAAAAAAATGGGAAAAATGCAGTCAAATCGAGAAAGATTGCAGTAAATTGCGAAAAAACGAGAAATATGTTCGAGGAGATCAGCGCAGCATTTTCGGGAAATACTCTGAAAAAATGGGAAAAATACAGTCAAATCGAGAAAGATGGCTGTAAAATTGCGAAAAAACGAGAAATATGTTCGAGAAGCTCAGCGCAGCTCTGTTTGGAAATACTCTAAAAAAATGGGAAAAATACAGTCAAATCGGAAAAGATTGCAGTAAAATGCGAAAAAACGAGAAATATGTTCGAGGAGATCAGCGCAGCATTTTCGGGAAATACTCTAAAAAAATGGGAAAAATACAGTCAAATCGAGAAAGATTGCTGTAAAATTGCGAAAAAACGAGAAATATGTTCGAGAAGCTCAGCGCAGCTCTTTTTGGAAATACTCTAAAAAAATGGGAAAAATACAGTCAAATCGGAAAAGATTGCAGTAAAATAAGAAAAAACGAGAAATATGTTCGAGCAACCCAGCGCAGCACTTTTGGGAATCACTCTAAAAAAATGGGAAAAATGCAGTCAAATCGAGAAAGATTGCTGTAAAATTGCGAAAAAACGAGAAATACTTTCGAGAAACACAGCGCAGTACTTTTGGGAAACACTCTTAAAAAATGGGGAAATTATAGTCAAATCGAGAAAGATTGCTGTAAAATTGCGAAAAAACGAGAAATACTTTCGAGAAACACAGCGCAATACTTTTGGGAAACACTCTTAAAAAATAGGAAAAATATAGTCAAATCGGGAAAGATTGCTGCAAAATTGCAAAAATACGAGAAATAATTTTGAGCAACCTATCGCAGCACTTTTGCGAAACACTCTTAAAAAATGGGGAAAATATAGTAAAATCGAGAAAGATTGCTGTAAAATTGCGAAAAAACGAGAAATACTTTCGAGCAACCTATCGCAGCACTTTTGGGAAACACTCTTAAAAAATGGGAAAAATATAGTCAAATCGAGAAAGATTGCTGTAAAATTGCGAAAAACGAAATATGTTCGAGCAA